TTATGCTTATTTTCTGACCTTATATCGCCTCTCTGATAGCTTCCTACCAGCTGTATCAGGCTGCTGTCTTTGGAAACCATCATTTCAGCCTCTGTCCATTTAAAGTGAAAAATAATAATAATTAAAAAGTTTTAAAATTCAAATTGACTGTGCAATAATTTATTAATATCATGCTCCTTTCCTATTAAGTCTGATCTGCAAGATGCTTCTAATTACTATTCACTGCACCTTTAAACTCCTTATCTTATACTAATACATGAGATGTCACTGACCTGCATGACTGGCATAACTCAAGTTTTGTAAAGATCTGCTCTTGAAACCTTTGCAAATGTAACCTAACCCTAACTTTATGCATTTAATACATCATCGTAATTTAACTCAAGTAATAACTCCCAGCTGCCCTTCTTCTTTTTTTCCCCTGAAGTTACAACTTCTAAAGTTGCATCTATTTCTGCTGTTACCACACAGATCATGCTCCATGTCTCATTAGTCATCCTGTCTTCTTGTCTGTAATTCACAAACAGCGCTACACTCTTGCCCCCCAAAAAACTCCACTGATTAACAACCTGCCATTAAAGTTAAGTTATGATGGATTTATCCCCAGGTGGACTCAGGAGGTGGTAAATTAGACTTTTTATCAGGTTGTAATGGCTGAACTCATTTATCAGATTGGGTCACAAAGCTGTCATTAGTATTCTACAAGGATCACTTTATGTCGAAGAGATGATGCAGGAGATGAATGAGGAGAGGAGATGACTGACCGGCTCTTTCTTTATCTTTTGGCTCAGAAACATTCCTCGTTTATGAGGCGGGGAGTGCTACCTGAGGATATATTGACAGAAACATGACATTGGATTCCTGAGAATGTGTGTGTTCGTGCACTGTACTGTGTGACTGTGTGTTTGTGGGGGATATTGGCTTGTTTTGGTAAAACGTGTAACCTATTTTGCATCTCTTAATGAAGTATGGCATCATGAGGTGTCAACATGAGCTGAATTGATGATAAATAAAAGCCTCAGGCGTTTCCTTTTTATCTGGCGACCTTGCAGGATGACATTACACCTGGTCTGAACTACAAATGCCAAGTTAGCTGTCAACTAGCAGCAATGTCCATGTTTTGTCCTGCTGTCAAAACTTTTTGCAAGAAAGTGAACAAACCTATTTTCCAAACACTCGGTAAAGCATCATGCAAGTTTAATCAACATAATGGAAAAATGGGTGCTGGTGGGTAATAATGATGATGATGATGATAATAATAGAAGTCATTCCAATGTTTTTCCACATTTTCCAACTGTGAGAACTGCCTGAAGGTTTTGGTGCAGAATTGTTCTGTTTGTTTAAAAAAAATTGGAGAAGAAGATTTGTTTGGTGTGGGGCTTAAAAACACTACATACTTTATCAATTTGGGACCCAATCAGAAATGGAACTAGCTATTACAAACCCACCCTGTGTACCTCAGCATAATGATCTGTAATTTGAACGTCTGACTCAGCTGAACACAACTCCTACAGACGAGTCATTCTGAAGAGGATGCCAGACATGTTGGCCTTGTACACACATTGAGCTTCAACTGAGGGCAAGTCAGGTATTAAGATAGTTTAGTGGCTAGAAAAAGGAAGCCTTTAAGACTCGGGAATTTTATCCAATTATTCCTATTTAACCTCTTAGAAATGCTTCATCTTTTTATACAGGCAAGCCAGACTGAGGCAGTGTAGTGGTGACAATTTCTGTGTGAACAGTAGTTTTGGTAAATATTTATAATAGAGGCACTCACATCTATATATTATCATAAGACATGTGATCCAGGTCATTACGGAGCAGGGCCTCTACTCTAAGACAGACACACAGACCTATGAAGTCACTGCTGGTGCTGAGTGAATATATTTTGATTAGACATTAGATCCTGGTCATTACTAGGCCATCTCTCTATTAGCTCTATATATCATTTCATCTCTCTGCTGTGATTGCTTCCACATGTCAGGCCCCAGGCTGCACAGACCCGCACAAAGCTGGAGTATGGGAGGTTTGGGAACCCCTATAATGGGTCAGGGCGGTCATGGAGTCCCCCTGGATGCATGAGTGGAAGGGACACAGAAGCCTGCTGATGAAGAGGTGGGTGGCGGGATAATATGAGGGTTGTTAGAGGGGCATGTCGAGCAGATTGAGGAAAGACGCAGATTTGGGCAGACACATCCTTGGGCTTGCTTGGCACTGATGAAAGAAATTTGGATCATGAGGTTGTAGGGAACAGATGCTTCCATCTAGATGACCATGTTTATGTATACATCTGTACACTAGAGGTATTGTAAGTGTGCGTGTTTGCAGTTAACAGTGTGTACATTTGCGCCCAGCCTCTGGGAAAGGTGGATTACAGAGGTATTAGGGTGCATTTGAAGGCCTGATTTCATTCAAGTCAATTCAGCAAAGTCCTTCACCTGATAGTTCTTAAAGACAGGATATGTTTCATACATCCATAATATACACAGGGGAGCCCTGGTTGTCAGTTTTGCCCCAGGTGGAGTGTACATCTGCCCAAATGATCTGTGTCAGGAAAAGCACAGCAGAAATGGGGAAAACAGCTGCGAGCGTTCATGAAAACACAAAAACAGTCTCACCCCCATTTTCCGCTGAGAAGAGCTTGCAGTGTGATCATATAACAGACAAACTGTTTAGCAATTTTTTCGGCTCGTCTCTCTGGCTAGCTGTTGTGGTGGTGGTGGGAAGCCAGAGGCGTCAGTGGTGAAGGAGAGCCCAAAATTTAGGAGAAAGGGAGAAGAGTCCTCGGAAGGAAATCAACATGAATCACCATATTTTGATTTGTGGCATCCTTGTAGTTTGAAGAGGGGAATACTGTTCCCCCCCCAAAAAAAAACTCCAACAGCAGAGTGTTTACAGTCACTGCTTTATCTGCTTTTCCATTTACCTTTTGTTTTCCAGTCTAACATAATTCTTCCCAGGTTGATGGTTAATTTCAGAGGTGCAAAGATCTGCTCTAAAGCCAAGCTGTTTTGCAAAATAAGTGCTTTTACTTTATCACAACCATATTTTCTCCCATCATTCAGGACATTTATTGGCTCAGTTATTATGTTTTGCCATTTTAGATTCATCCGGATGTATAGTCGACCCGAGAATATTGTATATTTTTGATTTCAGTCCCGAAGACTTAGCTCAGAGAACCTTCTGCTCGTTTAACAGCTCCTTTTTCAGATATGTATGCTCAACAATTACCCACCCAGTGGAGACGAGCGTGTGAACACTGTCACCAACACTGACTGCAGGAGGATAAAGATATTTAGTTTCCTGTTTGAAAAAATAAAGTGTAAGGGCTATATCCTCTCGCCTGCACAGCTCAGAGTAACCAGAGACTAAAATTCACTGTGATTTTGATAAGAGTGGATTGTTACACGGATTTTGGCAGCGATTCTTTGGTTCAAGTGTCGCTTTTCTGCACTGACGTGGTGCTAGCGAGCTGGAGTGCACCCTCATGTGCACACGGTGTTTATGCTGACCCAAATCTCTCCTGTCTGTTCTACAGATACATCCCTGTGTTTGCTCAGGGAAAGTTACAATGTGCAGTACATGGACCCTAAAAGAGGAGGCCCGTGGGCCTTTGAAAATAACAGCTTTCCACTGCTTTGCAGAGGGCAGCCAATTCACCTTGATTCAAACCATATGCATGCAAAAAGATAATACCTTTTATAGAGAGCAGTGTTTCAACTGTGTCTCTACTCTTGTCATTATGAATTTGGACTCAATCAGTGGGCCTTAAGGGGCTGACCAAAAGGCTGTCATTTTGTGGAAGTGGACCCATAAAGAGTATGAATATCTGCACAGCGAGGCCACAGTGGTTACAAGCCACAAGTGCCCACTGGTTTTAGTGCACAGACATGTTGACAACCACATAACAATCATATATGACTATAGGTGTGTTCAGACCAAAACAAAGGGGATGTTTCAAAGATAGTCACAAGGATAGTCAATAGAAAGACACAATGTTTTTGTTGAGCTATGCAAGTTTGCACCGCGAGATGCAAATAACCCAAATGGTAAACTTCATATATGTCTGCATGAATCAATGATGCTCTTATGCCAATAAGTGTTTAGATTTTACTCACTGACTGTGACGCATCAGAACTATTGACCAGATCTGGCAAAATGTCTGTGATAAGTTGGGGACTGTAAGGAAGGCGTGATGACATCTCGCCACTGCTTGGGTTGTGATTTTTACTATATCCTTGAATATTTTGGATACATCCTTACATGAGTTGTTATTCATGTATACATGCACACTCACCATTATGAAGGTGGAGAGCTCTAACTTCTACCTGTCCCCCAATACCTCACCAACAAGGGCAACAGAGAATCTCTCTCCAGCTGTGAGGCACATGTGTGAAAGGTAATGTCAGACAAGGTTGTGGCTGCTCTTTTATGGTAAAAATCACAATCACAATTATTTGATTGATATTTTGATTGGTATTTGCAACAGTGGCTGTTCTCTGCCAATCTGTATTACATGCATTTATGCATGATCACTGTAAAACTTCATATTTAACCCTTTTTGTTAACTAAACAAAATAGGGGCTGTGTATTAATTCTTCACTGTAGGAGCTTTGACTTAATTTTCTAATTATAATACTCAGTAAATGAAACACTAGATTAAATTTGTGTAGAGAATATTTTTACTTTTTAAAAAACTTGACATTTAACCACAGGTTTAGGATCCACCAAATCATTCAGTTTTTTAAAGCCTTTAATTTTTCCATCGCTCTAACGAGACAGGAAACCCTGGCTTCTAATTGGACCGTCGGACGTCAGTTTATCACAAGTAAGGCATCTGATTGGTCGATAGACCCAAACAAAGATGGCAGCCTCTGTTCAGTATAGCCCGCTAACATCTTAAGTGATAGTATTCCCTCCAAAATGCAAACATAAATTAGCTCCGTTTTTGGACGCGGACCGTCTCTGTGGGATAGAAACGTTTCTTGTCCTCGTAGAAACACATGGACACCATCGTCGAAAAGCTGCCGCCCGGAATTATGAAAATTTACAGTAAGTTTGTACGTCTTACCGCGCCACCTACGAGTTGATGCTGTAAATGTTTGGACGAATCTGAGGCACTCCAATCTTAAGTTCTTTGTAAACTCAATATGAGATGAGGAGAGGCTGGTGTGTTTTTTGCGACTCAAACGTTCACAGCTGACACAGTTAAAGACTTAACTTATTAAAATGAGACTCAGGTTTCACACAAAGACTGTATTTGCCATTTTCAGTCTATAGTTTCACCCCAGTCAGGCCAATAAACCTCAGAAAATAGAAAACTTGGTGAATCCCGCCAACAGGAAAGCTGCCTCAGGGACCAACAAAGCTCTCACTGCCCCGTGATTGTCAACCATGTTTGGATATCGTGTATCCTGTTGTAGTAACCAGGCAATGTGACAAAAAGTGGTTGATCAAGTTTGACTTGCACTTTTTACTGCAGAAAGATTGCTGTTGCTGCCTCTCTCCCATCGTGCTCATTCTGTCCTTCAGCTTTTCAGACATACACCCACCTCCCCCTGCCTTTCTCCCTCCACCTTTTACCACTGATCTACAACATCCTCCTGCTCCTTAATTTTGTTGCACATATAAATCTCAGCTGTAAAGTTAAAGCTGTTTGAGGAGAGGGGAAGTGCCCATGCTAAGAAAAGTAAGAAGTAAGCAGGCGGCTGCAGTCATCATTCAGCCTAGATTATCATATTTTTAGCTCTAACTGTAACTGAAGTTGGAATTTGATTGATCGCCCTGCGTTAGTTGAGCATAATAAGAAAAACCAAGAAAGCGTGCGATCATGCCAGGAGGAGCTTCCGACTCTTCAATGAACTCCTGGAGGCCATAAAGTCCTCAACAAGTCTTTACAGTAATTTCAAATGGCTGAAAAACCTGGCAGATAATCTGAATTTTTTTCCTCTCCTATGCTGTGCATTTCTTTTCACCCATGAGTGCTTTGTTTTATATACTATAAGTTCTGACGAGTAGCGCCCAACAGCATGTTTTACCTTGACTCGTAATTGTTTCACTGCATATATACCCACCTGTACTCCCTTAGACCCAGATGCACGCTGTGGCTTTTCCTGTGTACATATTGCATAGCTTGTGTAAGTGTCTCAACTACTGTACTGTAATTGCCCACAATGTCTTCCACATGTGCTGTTGTCTTTTACTATCACAGCTTGAGAGACTTAGATGACCTTGAGTCCTCTCGTGCCCATGAGCCTCGTGTTGACTGCCTTGTTATTTTGCACTGATATTTCATAACGAGGAAGTTCCAGGGGGGATCCTTCCCTCCGCCATGAAAACTAATCATCAGATATCAGAAAAGTGCAAGCAGATGATATTCTTTCTTGTGGAGGAAGTGGTATGTTTACTTTAACAGTTGTTGGATTTGTCTGTATAGACATACCAGAACTGGCCTTGATTTTCTTTAAACTTATACTGAATTTGCTTTATTACTGGAACAACATGGGGAATCCAGCTCCCACTGGAGGAGCTTATTACCGTTTCATGAGCCACAGCACGTTTTCAAGTGATTGGGATTCAGATTTACGGTAAAAATCCATTTGAAAACCATTTTAAAAGTGATATGATTTTTCCTTTCAAGGTTTAAAGTTCCTTTCTTCTTATTTATGACTCTTTTGACAAACTCCAGCAGAGGTAAATCACTGACTGACACCCTCCAGTTGGACTCAACTCAGTCACAATCAAGATGGGGATTTAAGTTTTGAGTCATTTTCGGCATCAGAATTAAAACGTCATTTTTTGTTTCAGAATAGGCATCTGCGTAATTTCTTTGCTCCTTAGCCAAAGTTAGGTCAAAGTGCAGCCCTGTCTACACAGCAGAAGCAGCCTGAGCAGCATCAGTGCTCTGTGTGTGTCTGCTGTTAAAGCTGGATTGATATAAATGTCTTTAATTTCCTTTCAAGTCTCTAAAATTCTGAATCTGCCTGCCTTAAGAGCCGAACTATACCAAACATTATGTTGTTTTTATTCTGTCTGTTGTCTTAATGCTTTTTATTGCTCCATTGAATACGTTATTGTCTTCCATTAAATGCATGGATAAAATGAAAACAATGTTTAAAGCCCTTTTTAAGAACATATGTTCCTCCTTCAGACTATAGAGCGGGCACAGATTCAGAACAAACAGTGAGAATCTGTTAGGGCGAATGTGTTTTCATTGGCTCTCTGACTCTTTGTGGATCTCTGGTGTTTGATTGACACAGCGTGCTTTCCACGGCTTTAAGCACCATCCCAAAACATTCCAGTCTTTCACCTTTTATATCAGTGTTGGAACATGTAAATCATATTTATCTAATTATCTTTTCATTTGCAACTCATACTTTCACACATGTGCTTCTTCAATGGCAGTGATCAAGTGTTTGACAGTCTGCGTCTGAAGGGTTTGGGCTGCTCTGTTGTCATTTTCCTGATTGATTGTTGTGAAATGCTGTATTGTTTATCACGCCAGGGATAGTCAGGGTTGTCAATTGGCTTTTGAAGTAGATCCAAGAAGCCCTGAAGCAATCTCCTGTTTCATGGTTAGCTTTCTCATGGAGGGGGAAGGGTCTGTAGGATTAGGAGAGTTGCTTTGTTGGGATCATCTAAGTGATAATTTATTATGTTTGTCCTTTATCAAGATTAAGTATGTGTGAAGCCGTCTTCTTCTGTCTGAGCATGTGAAATATGTTTCTGCTCTTGTCCCCAGCAGGAGAGTGGGACCAGGCAGCAGAGAGTGAAGGCAAAGAGACAAACAGTGAGTACAGCACAGTTTTTGAATCAGTACTGTATGTAGATCTCCTCAGTGTGCTCACAGTGCATGCATGCATCTCTGCTGTGAGGCACGTCAGAATGAAAAAAAGAGTCTTTCGCTGCCAGGCGAGTGACGTGACTGTGTAAACAAATACAGAGCATATGAATGTACCATATTTTGAATGTTGACACTGTGAACATGAAAGATGAGTTCAAAAAGTATGTATCTTGCATCTTTTGGGCTTCAGACATTAAAATTTATGGGAGATGAACCACAGCCACAGCAAAACAACATCAAAATATATTTAAAAGTCCATAAAAAACTCCCCGAATGATCCACCTCCCCGCTGTTCATCCAGATGATACATGAGGATGCAAAAGCAAAACAGGGAAGTAGCTGCTTTGAAGTGGTCAATCTGTATGTTTTAAGGGCATATTTAATGTAGAACTTAAGGCCTGCAGCTTCTAAAGCACAGTTTCAGCCAGGAGAGACTTCATGATGAGAACAAGTGCTTCTTTTATGTGCATTGTCTTTGGCTCTTTTGTGAAGTTGACATGCACTCGGTAGGGAAGAGTAGAGTCAGCTGAAACAAGGACTGAAGCAGGACAGAAGATAATAGGATTCAATTTTGGCAGCAGCATCAGGAAGATCGGCCAGAAAATGAGGCTAAAATGGATTGTTTTTCTGAAGAGAGGTTACACCCGTAATTAGCCGATCACCAGAACAGGAAGAGACAGAGAGGGAGGAGGACTGATGTGAATGTACGATGACTTAAGTATGGATGATGACTCAATGAATGAATGAATGAATGAGCAGAAAGTGAGAGAGGAAATGAAACAAAGGGTGTCAGATCAGCAGATCAGATTGTTGCTATAGCTTTGGCGCATGCTCAAACCGTTAGGCTGGCAGCGCCTCACAGGCCGCAATTTCTCTTTTTATAATTATTTCTTTTTTGAAGAGAAACAACATCGTAATTTTACATTCGAATGTTTCACACTTTGTCTAAACACTTTTTTTTTTAATCGACATCGTTGGTGGATTGCGTCCTTCCCCAGGTCCATTGTAGTCAATGTCCTTAACCTTTCCCCATCGAGGGCATATTCTTGAGAGGAAGATCAACATCCTAACCTCCACTGTGCAACCAAGAACCAGAAGTAAAAATTAAAAAATAAAATAAAATAAGAAACCACCAAACGAAAATATTTACAAATGTGCTGAGGGTAACAAAAAAAAGAAAATATAACCGATGGAGAGAGGCCTAACTCAGAATTTCACAGGCCGCAGTTTCAGCACAAAGTAGCATATATATACTTTTCTCAAATTCTCATTTTTTCTCTTACATTAAGTATCATTGAATTATTCTGCATGTGAAAGCATTAAAACATTCTAAGTGGAGACAACATAAAAGCATTTCATCTCACTGCGATTTCTGTACAAATCATCGTATGTTGAGAGCTGAGGCGGAGATGTGTTTTATCTTGAAAGCGCTCAGTTTTGGTCCAGACTTTAAGATTTACTGTGGAGGAGCTGACGTGCGTCTTCTTTCTCAAAGATGATTTTTCCTTCTGCGAAGGGGAACGTTATGTACATAATGTTACAGAGCTGCGCTGTACTCAGTAAATTCACTCAGAACATCATGTTACTCTGGAGTCTGCCGTGTTTTTCTTGTTGAGGTTTATTAGCAGGCAGCTTAACACACTGTTAGTTTTACACAGAGATCTCCACACATGTCTATACCATAGTGACCGGGGCAGAGCAGCACAGTTTATTCTATAGTGGTGGTCTGTGATACCAGACCCAGCCACCAGGGGGCAGTGGTATAGTAAAGGTGATGTGCTGAAAGAGGAGTATGATGGTCTGCTTACAGGTGATGCTGTTTAGATCAGGGGCTGAAATGTGGATCATGTATTATTTTAACTATCAGCTGTTTTGAAACTCTTTTTTTAATGTTTGCATGTATGTCTGAACCTTTTTGATCTTGATGCAGATTTATGATGGTAAAAACTGTTTGTATACAAATCAAGATAAATCTATAAACCACTTCCAAGAAGGATGCACATGTCTCCTTCTGAGAAAACACAAAGCCAGTGGATTGCAGGTAAATACATAATTGATTAGATTAGCGAGGGGGAAATCCACAGAATATAAACACCTGGTTTCAGATTAGTTTAAGGATCATCTTTCTCCTGGCCTCAAGGGGTCTCTTACAAAATTTTCATGAAGTAACAACAAACTCACCCTCCTTAATCATAATGAAAACATTTTACTGAAATATTCTTTAGTTTGTTGTTTCTCAAACATAAACCTGATGTAGTAAAAACTCAAAATAAAAACAATTGATGAGAAGTTTTATGCTACCAGATACAAAACTCCAACATTAAAAGTTCACATTCAAGTAAGAGATGACAGTGTTGCAAACTTTATCCGCTGTGTTTGTGCTTTTTTCCGAGTTGAGGTTCTGTCAGAGCTGCTCACAGTGATAGTGCTGTTAATGATAGCACTGCTGACAAGAGGCAGGGCTTTAAATGCTGCAGTGTGGTCCTCAGAAAAAGGCCCTGCATTACCTCTCCTTCTCAATGCATCATTACCCCAATGTGAGTAGTGATTTATGAGCCACGCTACAAATGCTGGGAGCAGTTCCTGTCTGGGGGCAGAAATCCACCCACTGATTGCCACTATTTGTCTGTCTGCATGTGTGTTTGTGAGTGTCAAATGTGTGCGTGGGCATGACAAAATAGACGCAGGACAGCTGTAAAGGTTTGTTAGAGCCAATATGAGCATGTCTTTCTCAGCGTGTGTGAGGGTGGGTGGGTGTTTTCCTGTCTGCGTGTGTGAGATCTGTGTGCTATCAGGGTTGGTGTTTCACTCCTGGTAACTAGATACAGTAATGTTTCACTCCGCTGGGTGCTGATGGATTGAATTTTAAACAGAGCAATGTGGAGTCCAAAACCAAACAGCTTTGAATGCGTCACTGAAATGCCACCACACACTTTACCAGGCCACTAATGGGCCTGATTTTAGAGATTTTGGAGATATAATCTTAAAGAGAAAAGTAACCAAAAGCTTAGCAGAGACGTGTGAGGAATGGCACCTTTGTTTTTTTTTCTCAGATTTGCGGGGCTTTGTGCTCAGCTTTGTTTTTTTGTTTGGAGATTAGATCTATCCTGCTTCATCTTGGGCAAGGTTGAACATGTTGTTTTGACAGGATTGTGTTTACTCCAGCCACAATGAATCTCAGCCAGCTCAAAGCTCACATCAAAGCTAACAGACAAGTGTGATTGACTGTGACGGATGCAAATCTCTCCATATGTATTTTTGTTTGTTTGGATAAACTGCTCCTTTTTTTTAGTTTTAAAGTCTGCACGTGCAAATTCATCAGTGTTAACAGTTTCCATTGTTTGAGTGAAGACAGCTATTATTGCTGATATACTCCAAATGTATATTTATTGTTAAAAATTCCAAGCATTCACAAAATAAGATGGCGACCTAATATTGTTGACTTTTGCAGAAGCTGTAACGAACTTACATTTTTGTTTTGAAAACTTTGTGGTTTCCTGTCCTTGTATTGCAGTGTTTCTCCCACATTCGTTGCGCCGCTACTTAAATTTCCCATCATCATTACTATCAATGCGCCAGTAATGATTTCTACTCGCACTGTGTGAGCACAACAACACGCAATGTTATTTTCAGCTTGTTTCGAGTTATCAACAAGCGCGTCAAATCCTGTCGGACCCTCTTCCATCAATGTGAAAGGTAATGTTCAAGCTTATGCACGGTCCATATAGCGAGTAGTGTGGGTAACGTAATGTAACATGAACGTAACTGCGTAGCTCCATGAGCGGCAAGAGTGTGGAAATAGCAGCGAACCCCCCCACCCACCCGACAGAGAAGCGCTGCTGCTGAAAAAAATCTAGGGGAAACACTGGTATGTATGCTTAAGATTTGTAAAAACTTGACCAGAAAATGATGCACAGCAGGTTATGAAAAGGTCATCGGGGTTGAACTGAAAAACCAGACAGTGGAATATTTTATATAATGCTATTCAACATGATATCCAGATTATAGGTTGCACCAGTATATAAGACGCTATCTGGTTTTTGGGGGTCCATGAATTGGAACCGGCCTCCTACGTGAGGATTCCCATAGCATTCAGCAAAACCCACAACTTTCTGTTTCTGTTCAGTGCAGTAATTCCAGGAGTTTTAACTCTGGCACAGTGCTTGAGTTCAGTGCTTAAAATAATTGCAACCAATTCACCTTGAGTTACGCCCTCCCCTCTCATCTGGGTGCTTATTTTTGCTAATTGAGGAGTTCTTTCAATCATGGTGACCAGTTGCCAAAAAGTGTTCTTCTTAGCTATGTATCCCAGCATGCTGTGCAGTAAATTTTCACTCATAGGTCAGGTCGCATGCAGGGACAGATGCAGCTGTACTAGCATGCATGATGGCCCAAAACAAGCTTTAGGGAGATTAGAGCGCCATCTTCAGCCAGGAATTTTATGGCTTGTCAAAGGGTATTTCAAGGAAGAACATTTATGATCATTACTTTATCATTTCCTTGAAGTAATAATCACCATATTAATCACTTTGCACTGCAGACGCGGTCGTTCTTCTGCCTTAGCGTCTCGGTCTGATTGCATTTCCATGAAGAAATGATCATAAATGTTCTTCCTTGAGCTGCGTCACCCCGCAGCAGTCTGTAATGGACTGGCCTGAGGTCTCGCTACAAACAAGTGGCTACTGGAAGAGAGTAGGTGAGTTTTGTTCAGTCTCTTTGCTAAATAAATTAGGCAAAGTTTAAAAGATGTTTGGTATTGTTCCGTGTTTGACCCTAAATTAATTTTACGCCGGAATATCCTTTTAATGGAAAATTACAAAGGGCCTAGAAAATATCCTTGGGGGATCCCATTTTGGATAGCTACTCTGAAGCAGCTGTAAGACATCTCACTGAAATGTCATGATCAACTGCGCGTAAAGGCTTTTGAAATGCCTTGAAAAAAGACAGATAACAGAAAGGCTGCAGTTATATGGTTAATAACCTTCATGGCAGCAGGAGTTGTGCTTGTTTGGAGAGTCTTACCGTGTGAGCTCAGAGGAAATGGCAGGTGTTTAGAGCGTTTTATCAAAGTATTTTTGTGTAGTAATATTTGTGCTTTCCCTGCTGTCTCTTGTCTCTCTCTCCTCATATGAGTGTGTGTGTTTGTGTGCCTGAATATGGACCACCCAAACCCTTTGAGGTCATAACAATAACATGTCCACTTCCTCTCCGTGATACGGCGGTGGTTTCAGTTGAGGAGCCGTAGATGAGATAGACACTATCAGTCCACATCACAGTAACAGCAGCAGTACTGTTTGGTTGCCTTGTCACAGCTGTGTGGAGGTTAAACTCCCTCCATGCATTTTTCTCTATGTCTTCACAGTCCCCTATATACAGTAAAAGCCCCATATTTAGTTTGAGAAGTTCTTGAAAAGCACCAACATAGCTTGGCGTGTTAATCCATCCTGCAGCAGATGTTCAAGCTTGATGTTGCAATTAGTCTTCTTTTTTTTAAAGCCGCTCTTGCAAAATGTGGTGTTTTGGAAATGCTCTCTCACTGTTTTAAGACTTTTTTTTTTTTTAACTCTTAACTTCTGCATAAACAAATTCCTCTGGTTAGACTGCATTTTCATTTTTGTGATTCTTTATTTTGGGATTTTCTCTCCTCCTGTGAGCGAAAATACACTGTGGTAATTAATATGATAATATGTGTGGTGGCATAATTTTTTCCAGCCATCACTGTAGGCTATGTTAAATTGAGGTCTGAGTGAGGTTTTAGCTGGAAACACTGAGGAGAGGCCTAGTACAGTGTGTCTCTGTCTGTGCTCTGCTAGTGAGGGGGGGATAATATTTGTGTTTTAGAGAGGAGGGCACTTACCCGCAGTTGGAACTATTCTTATTTGCCCAGATATCAGGGAAATTTAGCTCTGCTTCTGTTATGCAATGTTTGGTTGTGTCACATGGTTCAGTTCACCTACAACTCTTAAACAAAACTACCTTGTCTTAAATGATCCGTGAACCCTAAAAAGCAGCCCAGCGTGCACTCATAGGATGGGAGACACAGGAACTATACTGTTGCCTCAGCTGGGTGATTTATTGCGCCGCACAGTTTAGCCTCAGGAATCAAGTATGCTAATGTGTTTGATCAAAAGGAAATTCCTCTGCAGAGCTTCTTATGCTTTTAGACTTTGTTTTCAGATCACTCCTCAAATTGGTTTCCCAACATCTTAAACCGTTACTGTCTGTTTATGTGCGAGGGGGCTGATTTATGGTGTTAAATGACAGTGAAGCTCTCATCTGTGGTTAAACTGGGTGCAATACACCACTCAGATGCCAGTTCTCCGGTCTGTCTAGACGGGGTAAACACCGGGCTTTATAGACCTGACGGCTTACGATCACTGATGATTGGGTTTATGGGATATGAGGAGGCCGGGTCAGTTAAAATGATTGACAGCTAGTGGCTTTCTTTGTGTTGTGTGTTTGTGTTTGTTTGGGAGCGATGAAAGATCTGGAGAAGAGTTAAAGCACCTTCCGTTTGAGAAGATGAGGGCATAAACCGGTCTTTACAAATACTACTCTTGATTTCAATTTGGAGCGGCAGTGATTTAAAAGGCATTTATCCTCACTGTACTTCAGAGTAATGGAGGAAACTTTTCCCACAGCCAGCAACAACATGAAAAGGATAGCTGATGAATCATTCTAGTTTGAAGGCAGATAACAAAGACCCTGGGACCATCCAAGAAAAGAGAGTGCTGGATTTGATTTGCTTCAAGATCCCCAGATCTCAAGTCTCCTTCGCTGAGCTTGGTGTGGTCAGATGCTTTAAACTAGGGATAGTGATGGTGATTATTCTTGTAATTGATGTGTGTTGCTGTGAGCTTTGGAGGGGGAAGAGATTCCCCGGGGTGCTGTTCGAACCCATCACAGCGCTGGCTCTGGATTACAGGTATCTACTGTGTCTTTATTACAGTAACAAATCCACACCCATCTAAGCACTAGCATTACTGCCGTTTATCTCCTCCATACTAGTTTTTATCAACAGCCCTTCTCTACAGTCTTTATTATGTGTGATGCTGACATTTAACTTTGCAGCAGCACCCACATCTTAATTTGACTCAAGTTGCCTACAGTCATTTCTGGAGTTTTATTAGTTACAAGGAGAGATGAGCAGGTTATGAAATAGTCTTTTGTACTGTTGGTGACCTTTAATAAGGACATAAGACCATCCTCAGGAAGACAGAGATAGTTCAAGTGCTCCTCAGTTCAGATTCTCCTTAAATCAGGTGTGTTAGATGATTCATGGCACGCAGACCAGAGCAGTCCATGCTGACATTTCCCCAGGTTAGTTCGAGAGTAGTAATTTAGCAACACTTTGACTATTGCAGGGTTTTATTTTTCATATCATTGGAGATTTTGTTCCTGAGAAAGGAACAGGAAATGAAGAAAAAGCACTTTGATAACTGCAGTTTTTAGCACTTCTGTATCGGCTTCATTTCTCAAAACCGTAGGTTGCTGCTTGGGTTGACATGAAGACACCAAGTTTGTTTGGTAGAGCATTATCCAAAGACTTCACTATGTCTATGAAAGTACAAACAACGCTGAGACACAGCTGGACAATAGAGGACAGTGACATTGTCTTGGTCACAGCTCTAAGTCATACTGTTCTCTTTTGTTTTATCAAGATACGGTATTCAAGGACAGCCAATACAAAATAATAATGATGGACGAACCAAATCTGTTTGTTTTAGGCCAAGTTGTAAATCAAGGATCAAAATCAATTTCAGAATGATTACAACTTCCTTAATTTTCATAACCATTCATTTCAGACAGCCATGTCATTGCATATATGGGCATGAAAATGAAAAGTATTCTGTTTCTCCTAAAATTGTTTATGTGAAATAAGTATGTGAATTCTCTTTTAAATTTCATGGTGCTTCAAGCTAGCACAATTGGAAACTTTCTGGAAATTTGTGTAGTTTTGATGTAGAAGTAAGTCCTACAGGTTTACATATCACTCAGGTTTTATTTTTTGTTGTTGTTGAAAGGGTTCTAAGCTCTCAGAGTATCCTTCTGATCAGATTTATCTTGTTTATTTTCTAGCTTTAGTTTTTTGTGTCTTGCTTACACTCATTAAAATACTGTGTTTTTGATACAGTTCCCCACAGAGCACAGTTAGGGTTTAGCAAAGATGTCAACTTTGCAAGAACCACATGACTTGCCCTGTGTGCAGGAGGATGAATGGCACCATTTTCATAGTCTTCAGCACAGAGAGCTTTTTATGGCCTTGATTATAATCTGTCTGCCTCTGATTCAACCAAGATGCTGAAACACAAGATGGTTGTGGCTTTGCAATATGGTTTTGCAAAACCCAATTTTGTATCATCTGTGTGTTTCACTACATTTATCACACACTTAAAACTGAGAACCTCTAGTTTGTAACAATTTATCGACTGACTCATTTAGACGTGCATGTGCAACGTACCTTGTTTGAAGCTATGAGCTGAAATTATGAATTGAACTTGGGTCAACATTGGAAGAAATATCCCCTCCATTGTTACGGATGAATGAGCAAATAGGAAACATCCTGGCAAAGGGAGATGTGCCAAGAGAAGCTTTACTTAATCGCTCCTACCAGGTCTGTGCCACAGTGAGTCATAATCTCTCTAAACAGATATCTGCACATGAATGCACAACCTGTCGGCAAAGGACCAGATATTTGGTATTTTTGGAAGCGATCTGGTTTCCGTTTGTATGCTGTCTGAGTAATATTAAACAATCAGGTTTGGGCAGACTTAATTTTTTCTTCAGTCTTCGTGGAGAACAAAAGAAGTGGAACACATTAGAAGACTGGCCGTCTTGGTCTTCATCTGCTATTGTTTGACGAAAAAAGATATCTGACTATGAAAACAGAAAAAAAACATCCAGCGGTAGATGTGGTCTCCACACTCCAACTCCTTTCTTCCATTTCAAGCTGCAGTCTGACTTTAAACCATGACCAGGGTTGGAGGAAGAAATCTTGGCGTGGATTCTTCGACCTGTTGGCTACAAAAGAAAACCCTGCAAAAAAAAAAAAGAAAAGAAAAAAGAAAACTGGCTGTCATCCTGAGAGGCTAAATGTTAGTCAGATGATAGCTGATTTGTTCTGAGATTGCTGTGTGAGAAATAGCTCTGAGATCAGTATCAGAGTCTGACCACATTACCAAAGGCAGCCAAGACTACTTAGCACCTACTCCTAGTATGTACTAAATTACCTCTGTGTGCAAAGACCTGGTCTGGGTTCAGGTTTTGGTTCAGAGAAATCTCCTTTCCCCTTATGTAGTTGTGTGTGCCAGCCTCACTCTCACTTGGACTGATGGCAAGAGGAAGTGAGAGGTGGATGAAGAAAACAGAGAGTGGAGGGACTGCTGCTATACTTGGACTCGCAGTCTTAACTTAGCACATGATGGTGTTGGAGATATTAGTGTGATTCGCTGCGGCTGAGGGTTAACTGGTTCATTGCACATTGCTGCTCTGCCTCGTCTCGGGCCTGTAGGGATCGGCGCTGGCAGCTTTCGCGGGTTTTCTGTGTTGCTTGGCATAAACAGGGAAGCCAAAGGGTTTGTCTCTTCAGGTTAACAGAGATTAACCTGACAGTTGTGTTCACAAGAGCAGTGATGGCAGAAGTGGATGACTCACATACATCGGCATTCATCTCTATACTAAAGCATCTGCACCGCTACATCTTTCCAGTTTGTATTTATTCAACATCCAATGGGATTAGGCTTTAAATCCTATTTTATTTTTCTTTAATCCTTTTTTTATCGTATCCTGCCTCAGGTTGGGAATTCCTGCTGGTTATTTTTTCATGTTGTACAAGACTGAGTAATTTGTCTTTTGTCCACAAGGGGGTAGACACTCAGTGCACTTATGGAGCTAGATAGGATTCACTATGTGTCCCATCTTAACATGTCTTGGCTGACTGTGCGTTCGTGCCGTGTTCTAGTTTCACTCCTTATAAAACCCTTCTGCGCTGTCATGTCACTCACTGGTCTAATTTGCACTTCAGCACAACACACTGTGACAGGGAGGGCTTAAATCTCAAGTGGACCTGGTCATTACCTGTAAGAACCTGGTTATTATGCCATCAGAGTCAACTTATTTTGGTCATTTCCTCCTCTAAACCCTTAAGTAAGAGACAGACAAGCTGCCCGTCTGATTATATATTCATGAGAGAGACAAATTTCCCCAAGGAAAGAATGGAAAATAAATGGCAGAGTAAGAGGCAGATCAATTAGTAACAGCTTGCAGATTTCCTCGGCCAGATTTACTTCTGCTGCATGACAGCAGGAAGGGAAGTTTGGATTAAGGTGGAATTTCACTTTGTTTCACATCCTGAGGAGACTAGCAGTTGTGCCTCGCATGTCCTTTATTTGCTTGTTTGCTTTATTAATTTTGTCCACGCAGTAACGACATCTGTTTCAGCCATCAAACAGAGAGAAGGTGAAAATTTCCTCGGTCATTATGACCCGCACAGTTTCTGGTGGTTACGCTGTTTTATTTACACCAGCTGTAAAAGGGGAATTATTACAAATAACGTGAAGTAAACATATTTAGTAGATGATTGCATGCGTAATTTTGCAGGAATATTTATGGCCTAATCCTGCCAGCACTATGAGGCTTCTGATCACCTGTGTTTAATTTCCTTTTTATGGAGGCCACAGTATTACAAACGCACACAGACACACACATGCATGCACACAAACAAACTAAAAGGAAACTCCCCTCTTACACAGACAAACTCTGGATCACCTTGCCCACACTTTCTCACTGCTGTATGATCCGCTGAAGGTCAATCCAGTGTTATGTGAAATATACGTGTGTATATATGTGTGAGTGTATGCATGGTGTGGGTGCAGAGGGACAGCTGGGCTCTCTTTCTGTCAGTTCCCTGGATGTGTGCGCAGATTTATGAGGCCCCAGCTCTGATGCTCACACTCCTCTGACATATCCAGACGCAACGCTTGGTTTCCCTCTCTGCCCCCCCCCCACCCCCCGGGTGATTATCCCCTCCACCGAGAACCCGCCACAGCACCGCAATCACATCTCTGCATTGTGTACATACCCAGAGCATTCTTGTCCCATTGTTTCTAGAAACACAGCTCTTCTCTGCCCCCCTCCCTGCTGACAGTCCATTGTCACACGCTCCAGCTTTGACTCTCAAGAGAAATTTCTTGGCCTGTCCTGGCTTGATTGCAGCTTACATTGGCGGGATTGTACTGGCAGTGCACTGGACTCCGAGTTCAATCTACGGGCGCTTCTTGCAAAGGTAGGCTGTTTCATCTCTTAGAGGAAAATCTGCAATAAAAATTCCTTCATTCTCCAATAAAGCCCCCAACAATACATCGGAGAATTGACAGACCATATGCAGTTATAAGCCTATCAATCACCAGGTGTCACTTTCAAAAACAGCCACTGTTACCTCACGTTTTCGACCCACTATGACCTTTTATTTATGACATCATTTCATTAAGTTTAAATTAGCCTGAGAGGTGAGGCACATCAATCTGAACACAAGCTCTCTAAATGCACAGATTTCATACCCATGAAGCACATGCTATTACAGTTGATGAAAGATACACACAGCAGTGCATGGTACTTGTTTGAGTTTGCATTCTCACTGTAAAGACATGCAGCCTAATCCATCTTCATTTGTGTTTGAACTTGCTGAACTCCATTTTCAGATTCAAGCTTCACTGATTCACACATCAGGAAGACCTGGACCGCTGCCATTTCTTATTAAGTCAGCTTTTCCATCCGTCGTCCCCGTTCTGAGCTGCTTTTATAGGATGATCTCAGTAAGGTACGAAAACAATTCCTCTTCACCGGCACATCAGGACTTTCCGGGGACCCCTGACTACCTGTCATATTGCAGAGTGGTGGGGTTGGGGATACGGTGCGGTGGGCTCATCAGCTCATAAATAAATGTGCCGTTTGCCTATCAACGCTGGATCAACCTGTTGACTTTCCATACAGGAGCGTGTCGATATTCGCTTCCTCTGTGGTGAGTCAAAGCGAGCATCTTTGACCCCCAACCGTGTTTGTGAAAGCAATCACGAGCAGCTGCTGTGAAGGTCACCTGTGAACACTGGGTGTTGCTCGACCCTGACTGGGGTGTGTTTAACCATTCAAGTTGTTTTTATTAAAGAGCAAAAGGGAAGGGAAGATATGAGGGAGTGGGGGAAGAGTTCAGACAAAGACTGAAAGGAGAAGGGGGCAGCACATGGAAGAGAAAACCCAGCAGAGAGAGAAAGAAACCTGCTGGCTGAGGTCCAAATTAACTAAAGAGACTGACCTTTTGTGATCGTTGGCCTTCAAATAACAAAATATTGGACATATTTGAGAGCAGACTGCAGAGGGTAGATCGCCCACCATGTTTGTTTTGGCGTGTCAAAGGAACAATACTGTCTCTATTCTCCTGCAGATGGAATTTGGCGTCAGGTTGGTGGCTCAGGAAGATCCAATCATTCCTTTGTTATCTGGGAGAGCGATGGTGATGTAGTTGTCCTTGAAGACAGAAAAGGGGGGACCGAGTGCACCTGGATACCCAGCTCATTCCACCGCTACGGTCATCCCGCGACTTGCAGCATTTTTAACAAATAGTGCTGGAGAGCGGCATGACAGCTGGTTACGTAAGGAGAAGAGGCGGAGGTAGCCACAAGGGAAGTTTACCTGCCAGTGCGAAACTCTTCATGCCCATATAGAGCGCAGTATTTGTCACCTGTCAGAAATTTTAGAATTATGATTGCTGAAGGAGAAACTTTGGAGGAGATTCATGCCAGGTGATTTATTTTTACATGAAGCAGAGAAAATGTCATGGAAAGAGAAAAAAGGAAGTGAGGAGAAAAAAAAGGGATTCATACGAGAGAGAGAGAAGAGAGAGAGAGAGGGAGACTCCTGGAGACTAAGGACTGTTTTTGCTGATGTTAATGTTGAAAATTAAAGGTGGATATCCCTTTTTTTACTGGGCTGTCAGTTTCGTCCATTAAGTTTGGGGTGGCTGTCTCAGCACACAGGTGTGAAGTAATAAATGGGAGTCATGGAAAGTGTCATTTAACTCAGCAGTCTTCTTGCCTTCACTGTCCAGCTGGCTTACATGCTGATGCATATAAATGTCTCTGTATGTCATTAAATCCTGGAATGCCTTTTCAATTAAAGTTATTGCTTCTGATCTTTTGCTTTTAGCTGTTGGTCACACTGACTCAATGGCTGCCGGGGAAGGCGGCTGGTGAAGACAGCGTGCTTTTTGGGGGGAAATTTGGGGTGCAAAAGGGGGGTAATGATGGAGGAGATCTGCTATATTGGGTCTGGATGCCTTTTCCTGTCACAGATGTGGGTTTGGCTGGACAGTGGGTGCTGCAGTCTGAGATTCTGACATCATCTGTTTGGGAAAAATGAAGTGACAACAACAATAAAGTGTCTTTTGTTATGATGGGACCCCGCTGATTAATAAACCATCTGTGGCCTGCCCCCCCTTGTTGAGTCCACAGGCTATCAACTCGTGCCAGTTCTTCCTCCTGATTGATCCAGCTACAATGACAGCCCTTCAACGGGCTCTTTCGACATCTTTGCAAGTCATCATTGTGCTGACAGTGCAGCCACATGTTGGGTTTAAAAGGTCAAGCGAGGTCCTGGTTGTCACTGAAAACTTTTGCTGATATTCTCTATGAACCCAAACTTCTATTAAATCAAGAACATACTCAATAACTTCAAAACAGTTGTGTGGCACATGCATTCACTTTGCACTTTATATATTGAGCCCACGCAAATGAAGGCAATGTCTGTCACCACATAAATGCAAGAATACTTCATTCGTCTGCCTCTAGGCTTGTTGTTGGTTGCAGATCTAAACGAAGTCTGCGTCTATTCTTGGCTCACAAGCGCAGCATCTGCTATGTGAAGTCAAACATTTCTTTGCATTGTGTTACAGGAAATTCCAGCCCCTGATAAAACTAGGTCTACACGAAGTACAAGGTCTCTGCTGCATTTATAGAGAGGCAATTCCCACATCGATCTGGCTCAGGCCGTGGTAATCTGGATTACTGTCAGCATGCTCTTAGTTGTTTTGTTTGGTGAAATCAGTTAGGAGAAACCACGCTGAATAGAAAAGTGTCCTAAGGGCTCATTCAGCAAGGAAGCAGCGGTGAGCAATCAGCCATATTTAATCAAGCACACATGTCTGTGCATATTTGTAGGTGTTTACCTTGCACTTGTTTTCCCACTGATGGAGTGTGGAACCTGACCAACAGACTCATGTTTCAAGGCTGAGGTGATTTTGGTTTTAAGGCATAATCTCTCTGTGATTGTGTGTGTGTTTGTGTGTGTGTGTGTGTGCGCACATGTTTGCCCTGGTTGACCTCTCTGTATATGCATGTACTTGCACAGTACCTGCTCTGTCTACACTATTAGCGTCAGCACGCATGCTCTTCCTCTGGTATCAATAGTTGGTAACACTGACATCAACCACAGTTACTGCCTGTGGCGAAATAATAGGTTGGGTGGAAAATGAGGACTTGTAGTATCAAAGTCAGGGTGTGTTTTCATTTTATTGGACAGATTTCAATTCCATCAGATCTGTCACAGAGGAAAAAAAACACGCTGTATGTGTTACCAAACTGCTGTACCCATTCCAGATATCAGCTTGTAACCACAGGCTGGACTTTTTACTCACACTTTGGTTTATGTCCTGACTGTATTATAGTAGATAAGCGAAGCACAGTGCAGTGAGGAACTGTAACTTATTTCAACAATTGTTCATAATCAAGTCCATGTAATGTAAATGTTGATACGACTTTATTTGATTTGATTAATTATGGGTATGTGTATTTTGTAAATCAGATTTTCCGTAGCATGTGCTCGAAGATTTGACGGCTGTCACAATATGAATTCTTTGTGGTGCTCATATGTGAACAGGTGCTGTGTGCGATTATTGAACTCATTTACTATAAACATAAAGGTGCTTGTGTGTGAGTGACAAGGAGGATGAGCTCTCAGAGACTTATCTAAACAGACCAGACAACAGGGCCTCAGCAGTCGTCATAGTTTCATCTCTCAGACAATCTGACAAGTCTGACTTTGAAGATTATGACATGCAATGCAATAACACGGATCTTTTTCAGTGTTTTTACAGTTTTGTGTGAATATTGGAGTGTCAGAGCATTTTGGCTCTGCACATGGAAGCTATTAGCCGGAGGGCTTAGCAGGGCTGTTCCACTGAGAGAAATGAGGGCTGGAGACCATCTCTGCGTTATATGCCTGGGGGTTTGTTTTTCCCCAAAGTCCCCTGTCTTTGGAGGTGGAGACAGACTGGTTTCCTTTTGAGACAACCTGTACAGAGTCTGAAACCTGGCCACAAGAAGTCATGTGGAATTTAGGATCTGGGAAACGTAGGATTATTTAATCCATTTCATGTAAAACAGAGTATTCTTCCAGCCTTTAAATTATTAATGGAACTGGACTCGTCTGCCAGTCCTCCAACAACGTAACTTTAACCAAGAGCATGAAAGTCCAATCCTTTCAGTCACTGCCTGTGGATCACATCTTTCCATCCCCAGCTGGACTTCACACTACACTTGATATCCAGCTTTGCCATAATGGAACCATCTCCTGCCTCCCAATTAAGAACCATCTGTGTTCCTGCTTGCCAGTCTCGGGATCAGCCTTCCAACTATGCCCGGCTGCCGGGATGGATGGTCCAAACTCAGGGATCCTGTGAAGGAGAGGAGAGTCGCAGGACGCCCATCTGGACTCCATCAGGAGTGGGTAAACAGAGCCAGATCCTGCAGCGAGCAGTGGAGCCTTGCCTTGGCTCCCACCCACCATCACAGAAGACTCAGGCAATGGCTCAAGCAATGAAATGATACACACATTGTCATTAACTCAAACCGTGTGCAAAAATGCAAATTTGCTCAAAGCTCGTTGGGTGCACTCTCAGCCATGTGCCTGTTCGGTTTAGTCCTTCGCTGGAGTTGTGAGGAACAGAGGAGTTGTAAATCCTCTCCAAGGCTGAGTCAAGAGTTTTTCTTTTGATTTTTTTTTTTTGTGTGATCCATTAAAAGTGCTTTTATAATGTCTGTTGCTTTACTGGCCTGTGTCGCTGTTATCTTCCCCCTTCACCCACCGCACACTGGCAGGTGCTCTTCCATACTCTGCCTCAAGTCAAGAAAGTTTGCTTCAGTCATTCATCAGAGATAAGGAAAGAGAGAGAGAGGGGAACCTGTGGTAGCAGACAGAGTTACAAGAACGGATGTTGATGCTCTTTAAATTTTTGTTTGTTTTGCTGAAGCGATAGTAGTGGAGCTCACATCTATTGCAGGAGAAAGCTGTATCTCCTGCAGTCTTCTGTATTTCTTTGTGATTAATGTCCTTGCTGGCTGATCCAGCAGACCAGAATTTCCTCCTCTTACAGTTATTTAAAAATGATCATATTCCATCCCTTGGTATCAGTCACACCTACAGTTCGTGCTGCGTCCTGTAGCTTTCTCAGAAGGAGCTTACTTCACTGTTATCACTCCCATTGAACCCCACGAACAAGATGAATTGGACTGCGCTGATTTGTGTTGCACCTAGCTGAGTTTCCAGACATATTCTTTTTTATTTGTCTGTCCTCAATCACCCTGCATCCCTTTCTTTTTCCCAAGCAGTGTTAACTTTGAACAGTATTTCGAATTGTTGTAGCTCACGGCTTTTTGTGTTTACAACCTCTCCTTTCTTCCCTCCTCTGCTGCAGCTTCGAGTCTCTTCTCTGATCACAGATAATTTAGTCCTCTGCAGAACTGGGAGACATACCTTCTAAGAAGGAGTTTGCATGCTCTTACATGACCTCTTAACATCATGGGTGTTTGTATGAAGATGTTTGACAGTTGATTTAGTGCTGCTGCTTTGGAATTTCTCTGTTGGGTGTCTCCACCTGGATCTCGGTGCAGCTTACATTAAGCTGGAAGCTTATGTAAAAAGGACGCTAAAGAAGAATGAGGTAAAACAGCAAGTTTCCACAAGTGTTCAGATTAAACCCCTCTCTCTTCAGGACTGTGGCCACAAAAGCAACAGCTTTGTTCTTTCATCACTCAGTCTCCCAGCAGCCAGTCTGCATTTCTCACTGCTAGCATATATATCAGAGTTGTCAGGATTTACTTCGTTTTCCAGCATCCTAGTTAACTGTTGTGGACCTAACCCGGACTTGTTGTCACACATGGGAAGGCCAGATTGTTCCACTGATATGCTGTGAACTCTACACTTCAATACTTGAGTATTTTATTGACTTGAGATGTTTTTCTCGTCCTCTAATGGAGAGATTAACTGTCCTGGCCTTGCACTGACTGCACATTTGATCTTTTGTGCTGTGTGGTGATCGGGCTTTAGAAAGAGGACCAATGACCATAAAGAAGCTAACTGCTCTGCGTCCTGTTCCTAGACAGATTTATTATAATAATCAGGGTGTAGGCGATCATGGCCAGGGCAGCTACATGTGGAAATGCACCATGGTAATAATGATAATAGGCCTTCTTTATAAACTCCACATTCTTCCTGCTCTCTCATTAAATGAGTTGTAACCCCAGCAGTCTGTGTTGCAGACACCATCGGTGTTCCACAGTTGGAGGTTGAAGACGGTTTGGATCCCAGAGCAGAAACTCTTGTCTGGAGGACGCTGTTTTCCTGTGAGGTCTGCTGTTGGGATTCCACTTTCAGACACTGGAAACATTTTGGAGGTTAGCAGCAGACTAAAACACAGCTGGCCTAGACTTCCTCCACAGCTTCGAAGGGTTTCTCAGACTTTGATCTGGATGAAACTGCAACACATAACCACTCAGCGGGACTGCATCACTGCACTAATTCATATACCTACAACTGAGCTCAGAGCTTGGTCTATTTTCTGTTGCTTTACCCAACCCGTTCAAGCCTCCCAAGAGTGGCTCTAAACCATATTTAAGTCAAAAAATCCCTTTTTCCATTCCCACAAATTGATACAGATATCTGAAATTTGTAGAAACCTGACTGACACCTTTTTTTTTTTTTTTTTGATTCCTACTTTATACTCTGTTCAGTGTTGACATAAAAACCAAAATGAATTGAAGATATGAAAAAGGAAAAGCTACTGTTGTGAGAAACAGTACTCCATAGTACTCAAGTAAAAGCATTGTTAGCTGTTTGTGCTTACAGTTAGCTTGTCAAACTTTTTTACCCTTGGACCAGTTTTCGTTCCCAAGTGGTCTACGGCACTTTATACTAATTTTCTAATGTCTGGTACCATTGTGTGATACAATAAACACTGTGGATATCACAGATCAAAAATCCTAACCATGTATTGGAGGAAAGCTCCTAATAAAGATTTACTGCTCCTGTAAGAAACCCGGGTTTATGTGGGGTTCCTAGTCCTGCAGAGTCAGCTATGCTATTCCTCACCCACATTTCTTTGCATCACTTTGTTAAAGATGCACTTTCCACAAGCTTTATGCACATAATTTATAACGATACTGTACTCAGAGTCCTCACTTGCCCTTCCATCTCCCAAAACAGGAAGGACCAAGCCTGGCTTAAATAAGAGCTGTATTCCAGACCTGCCTCCCCTGATATAAAACCAGGTTTTTACATTAAACAGGGTTACGATCTAGACATTAAGTGTATGCAAGGTCAAATGTGTAAAGGGGGCAGCGAAACAGTGGGAGGTAGATGGTTTAAAAAATATGTGCATTTCATTTCTCCTTACTGTGGGGATTCCTTTCCCCATTACTGACACCATGTGTCGGTCTCTCCTATATACATGGCAAACGTTTATTAGATATTGTATGTGGAAAATGAAGACTACTCCACATGTAAGTCTCTCATTGTAGAAAATTGGCGAGATATCAGTGCCCCAGCTTGCGTATTTATGAGCATGTGAGAGATCAGTCCTGCTGCGGGGCAGTCTGTACTTTACCTGCTGCAAACGATACACTCACCACAGGATGTCTTTGGTTTTGTGGGATTGATTATTGTTCTTTATGAAGAGCAGATGCATTGGCTGGGAGACGGTTTAGCCTTTTCAATGGAATCTGTTTGACATGGGTCACAAAGCAGTATGTTAAATACAAGGTTAGGACTTTGAATGGACTAGAGACCCCTAGAGATTACTGGGACATCAGTGAAAGTACAAATTTCACTTCATCCTGAAGCCTTCTTAACAGCACATCTGAAGTGTGACATATACAAAGATGTATATATGTACCATTTTGAGTGTGATAAATAGCCGACAGAGCAAGACATGAGATCAGTTAATGTATTCAGACAGAGCAAAAGCATTTCCTTGTTAATTATCTATATTTATACCGGTCCGAATAATGACTCGTTCTACTATAACAGCAGGTTAACCTCTTTGTATATGTAAAAAGTGATAAGTGTTGGGAACTCACCCCATAATTTAGCACCTAAGTCATCTTAAGTGCACCGTAAGCCTCTGTCCCTCACCACATTCCAGTGCCACCCAGACTCCAAATTACTGTAAACTAAACCAAACCCACACCGTGGTAACGGAAGGGTGTCAATTTGGACAGGAAAGAATTTATTTGAACGTGACTCGAGTTTCTGTGGCTCGACTCCCTGGTGGGGATGTGGAGAGGGTCTGTCTCTGGTTACTCTGTCCCTTGATGTAAATGCCACATGCACCCCAAACAATAGCCGATTCATCCATCGCTGTGTCTTTCTGCAACAGTGAGAGAAGGCTTCTGGGAATGAAAAGCACTTCAATCAAACTCCAAAGGAAGAAGAAACATAAAAACACACACAGTCACACATGAATCACAGTGATATGTAAATATAGTTGTTGTCTGACAAAGCAATTCAAATTAGGGTCCAAAATAAAGAAGCTATATATCAAACTAATAAATCAAGAGGTTACTAGGTCAAATAAACCCTAATTTAAGAGATAAACAAGTCAAACAACAAATCAGTCAAAACAAAATAAAGTTATTGCCTGACACATAAAATTAAGAGCAAACAAAAAATCAATTCACTGGCGAGCAAACACTTGGCAACACAAGCAGGAATAAACCTCTTGGAGAAGCAGCAACCTCAAGGAGGACTAGAGTCATTGGTAGAAACCAACTGCCATGACCGGCTGTGTTGAGAAAGTAGAACCAAGGGAGTAAAAGACCAAAAGAAAAAGTACCACCATACCAGTACATCTAGAAGGGCACCTAATCATAATGGGGCTGATACTGACCCTGTGGACTCAACTTGGTGTAAGCCCAAAAAATGACCAAAGCCTTGTGGCCTTGTGGACCAGGTTTTACTAAACTGTTGCATCCTTACTCCACATACACCTACTCTTTGTTTACATGTCACTCTTCATCTTATACTTAAAATTTACATTAATGTATCTACTAACAAAGGCACATAAATGACCAAATTGATTCCTTTGAGTGGAGTATTAAAGTAAAGAAAGGCAAAGTTATTCAGTTCCACCCCTAATGGCATTTATGTAATAATATGATTAACTCCCACAGTCTCTCTCTCTGGGTACCTGGAATGACCTTAGCTCACCGATTCTTATCAGTCTCACATTTCTGTCTCTGCTCTCAGAAATATCTGGGAGGCCCAGAGACAGAGCCGTGACCTGAAATGCGATGTCCTTCAGTCGAGAGAACTAGCTCGGTTTGTTTTTTCTTCTTCACAACCAGCCTGACACACATATGCTCACTGTGAAGTTGTTTTGTACTTAGGGCAGCACAGAAAGTGATTGATTCACAGCATCTTGTGTGGACACATACTGTAGGTTCTGTAGGTGCAAGGGCAGCTGGCTCAAGTCACACAGCAGAATAATAAACCCACAGTGGGGTGATGTGTTTGAACTCTGTCTGACAGTCCCCTCTTTTTCTATTCTGCCTACCCCCAATTTCTCCTCCAGAGCCCAGACCACGGAGCCGAGGTGATGACGGGCCCCAGAATCACCCAGTAGGCCTCTCTTACTGGTCCCACACTGAATGGGTGTCTGTTCCCTGACATCTCCATCTCTCATCACCACCCCATCAATCCCATGCCTCTGTAACCATCCCTGCAGAGACAGGGCTCCACTTTGTCCCAAAAAACCCACCCCACTTCCCTACTTGTTTTCCTGCCTTATAGCCCCATGCTGTGCAGCGGGTGTGACAGCTACCTGACAGCAGTGGCCCCCAAGTGAGAGAAACTTTAGCCAAAGCCTCACTCTATCTCCCAAAGCATCAAAACACCATTGCTAGAAGAATCAGCATCCCCTGACTAATCCAAATACCACGTGTCTCTCCAAGAGAGAGAGTCCCCCTTCCCCCACTCTGTATACTCATAATGGAGCCCCTCTACCTTGCTTTCATCCACATCAAGGTTCTGTGACCCAGTAAACGCCTGCAGGATCAAGGCCTCCTCTGGGAATAGAGGTGGATGTTATCATAGCATTCCAGCCCACGTAAAAGTATGCCAATTAGCATAGCTGGAGAATGTTGTTTTGATATCCTCTTTCACCAAACCCCCAGCTTGATGGCAGGCAGAGCCCATGTGGTAGACTCTGAGCTGTCACTGGAGCTGCTATTGCTGCTAAATAGGTATTTTCTGTTTCATCCACACCAAACTTTTACTAAAGTTTGACTATGGACAACACCAACCAGCTTGTTCATGTCACAACAACATCTCCAGTTTCATATTTCTACTTTACCCTTTTTCATTTCTTGTCTACTTGGTTGTGTTTTGATGTACTTTGAGAGAAAATAGCTCTTCTAGCTGTGTTGAATAAGTTCCCGTTCTTAGCCATCCAGCTGTGTGTGCTGCATGTGTGTGAATTTGTTTGTGCAGTTACGGTGTGTATGTATGAGCTTTTTTACAAACTCCACTTGTATGTTCCAGACAGGTTTATAGGGTGTTTGCACTGCAGAGTAAACAAACTGTGAAGTCTGTTTGTGTACTTTCCTCGCTTTCTCCACTGGGAAAATGATGTAGATCAGACAAAAAGTTTTTTTTTTTTTTCTCAAAGAAGCCACAGTGTTGGTCAGACACCGCATTCAAGTTAGGACACATACATAATAGTCTTATTTTTACTGAGTGATTCACAGAGCTGGGAACATATGGTACAACTGTCCTTTAATCTTAAAACCATATATTTGATCAAAGTGGGATTGTGGTCATATAATGAAGACCTTTGACTCTGCTCTTTGGTGGTAAATCCTTGACCTACTTCACCTTCAGACTACTCTGTTTAAGAAGTGGATGTAAAGTTCTGAAAATGTCCCTCATTGTTTGTTTTGTAGGAGATGTGGAGCATGATTTTGTTTGAAGGAGCACCATGTCATCATAAAAAACACCTAAAGAGAATATAAAGACAGCCTAAAGCTGGACTGGTACCTTACTTAATGTCTATGATTGGCCTCTAGTGGCTAATCCTGAGGCTGACAAGTCTTCCATGTAACTACATTTCATCTAAACAAAGTTATCAATTTTGAGTAACATTTATTTTAATAAGCCTGGATTTGTTTGTGCAACACTGTTGAAATGGGCTCAAAAGTAGATTGAAATAGTGTTAATATTGTGTAATTCTATAAATTGTAACAGGCTTAGATTTCTAAGTTCAATCTGCCCAGGATCTATTCACTGGACATAATTCAATCAGTAAAGACATTTTAAGATTAGAAAAAATGTATTTGATGATAAGAATGGTGCTTGACAGAAAGTCTTTGGCATTTGGACTCTATGGGGTGATTTTTGAGATCGTAGGATGCCTGATCTGCATGGTGGCAGGAAGATCGCCCCAATGCAGTCCTGAAGCTGCTGGTGGTGGCTGATGACTGCTGGGACCAGATGGATGAATGATGGATCTGTTGATTTTACCGAGATCAGGTGGAGATGGGGAGGTGGATGGAGCTGTGAGTGGCGAGATAGAACTAGAGGCAGAGAAGAAATTCATTTTAAAAATGAGAGCAGAACATGGATAAGCTGACTGCGAGGGTGTGCTACTATGCTATTGGATAAGGAATGACACCAGTGAATGGCTGATTAACCAATGACTGCTCTGAGTGATGACAATGGGAAAAGTGAGTAGTTATGAGAGAGGAAAAGACACTTTAAGCAGCTGTGACAGCAATTATGGTCTTACTGATTTAACTTACGCTGGAGCTACATTTAATAAATTAGAACTAAAAGGAAATTAGACATTCAAACCATCAATCCATCGTTGTATCCATCTGTCTTCCATCTGCCCTTCTACCTTTCCAACCATCAACCCATCACCCATCCATCAATGTATCTACTTGTCCATCAATTATCCATTTATCAGTGTGATTATCTATCCATTATCCATCCATCCATCATTTTACTCTTGCATCCGTCCATACATCTATTTATCTATTAGTGTGTGAATACATGCATCCATCCATCCATCCATCCATCCATCCATTTATTTTTGCATCCCTCCATCCTTGTAATCATTCATCCATCAAGTCATCCATCCTCTCAACTGTTCTGTCATTTCTGCATTAGCAGTGTGTTTCTCCTAATAAAGATCGTTTGGACCTTAGTTTTGGTACCTATTATGCTATTTCTATATGAAATGGCCACATAACTGTACACCGATTTTTTTATTGAGGCCACAGCCTTAAAGTCCACATATAGTGGCAGTCAGAGTCAGTAGAAGATTCAAACTAATACAGAATCTCTAACAAGAAAAAGAAGAGTTCAATAAAAGACCAAAAGTCAACTCTATCATTCGTACTCTTCATCTGTAAAAAAGACATAACTCTTTTTTTAAGTACTTATTGCGCTCAAATGCATTATTTAGATATAACTAAAGTGTTATTAATTTCTCAGCCTAACCAAATGCAGACTACATTGTAAAAATGTTTTTCTTATTTCATCACATTTTCTCTCAAGTGCCAGCATGTTATATTACCATTATAAGGTCATGGTCTACAGTTACATCTCTTAAGCGTTAATTGATTAGATTCACAAAGAGGTTGGAGTCATGGGTATTGGTTTCAACACTGTAAAGCATTGACACCCTTTTTGTGGAAACTATCAAGGAGATCTGATTGTTTCTTGGCTTCTTGAACCTCTGTGCAAAACTGACAACACAAGCTGGGCATTTTGTCTGGCAGTGTATGCAGCTCTCGCTGTGTCCATGCTTAGTAATTCTGCTAACAGAAAACCATATGTCTGGTAGATTTTGGAATTGGGGAAAGACCCACACAAGTATGGAGAAAACTTGCAAATGTGTCTCAATTTGACCGTGTCTGCGCTGGATTTAAGCCCTGGACCTTCTTTGTGGAAGGCAACTTCACTTCTGCAGAATTCATGTTTTCATCAGTTGTTACGCTGTTTAATGAAAGTAAACAACCAAGAAAGTCATTTTGCAACCTTTAAAACATCTTAAAAACAGGGTTAAGTAAATTTTCTCTGCTTTGGTTTGTTGGAAGAACTCCCACGCTCTCATTTATATACTGCAATGACACACGACGACAGCCTGACTTGACCTTCAACAGATATTTTTGCAAGAATGAGTAATCTTTGCAATATTAAAGCTGCAGTTAATCTTTGTGAATAAAGATGACCCTACCAGGAGGGAATAAAAGAGGATACTTCAGAAACAGATGCAAACATAATGTCAGGCCCAATAAGCGTTTGGCATCAGAGCCACCACTTTTTTTTGGTGAAAACTATAGCGCTTCAAATGAAGAGGCACAAACAGTGGAGTTCACAATATGCACTCGACCTCTTTTCAACCACATGTCCTAACCTCAAACAATGCGCTGTAACTCAAAAGCATTGTTTTAGACATGAGGCACACTCTTAGCGCTGGCTCTGGATCCAACCTGACCACGATACCAAATGCCTTCAACTCCCTCAGAGATACAGTAAACGCCTCCTTCCAACCCCAGCAGACTCTCTCCCTACAGCAAAAACCACTTGAGTACATTTGCAGTGTGTTGTGACTCTAACCAGATCTACTTGTCCACACTTTCCATTGAATACCCCTCCTGTACGCGGAATAAAACAGGCAGTTCTGTCTCACAGGGTTTTAATGTGTTATTGTAGACAAACCTACTCATAAATCTAATTTCTTGGCCGGACAAATGGTAACTAAAAAGGAACCTCCACTTTTTGGTGTTGTTTTTAAAATTTTTGAGCCTGACAAACAGTTTTGACTTGGCGGGGTTGGTCATAGCCAGGAGGGGGCCGGAAGGGTTTTAGAGAGAGATGTCGAGTGAGTTTGTGGTTGCCGTTTTAAGTTGGATTAGTAGTGTCACTTGCCAGAGAGCACCATAGTCCAAGAAGAATGTGACACCACTGTTTTGCTCTATAAATCAAAGGACAAGCTTGTTCTGACCGCAAGAGCATTTTGTGATTCCCCAGACTAATGATTTATTTGTAAGTAGCACTTGTACAAAGTAATTCAGAATGAGATCATGAAGGTTTATGTCGACATCTGTTATTCAGACATATTTTTTTACATGTGTATGCCACAATCTCTGATAGGTAAAAAGTAATGTTGTCAGTGTCTGGATTTCCATTCATTCTGCCTCCAGTTCCTCTGGGACTCGTGGTTTCGAGTAGTAAGGGGTTTCTGGCCTCTCTAGTTCTGCTGGTGGAAGGATATATGATAGGATAGGTTGTGGTGTGGCTGTTGTGTGTGTTTGTGTTTCTGCTCTGACTGCTGCAATGTTTTCGTTCCTGCAAAAGTGTGACTTGGCCTCGGGCTGTCACGGCTACTGGCTTCACGTGGGATGTCGGTTTGGATCGCAGGATGGTTTTGATTTAGGATCCTGATGCTTCCTGCAAAATTTGCTGTAGTAGACATAAACAGTTCACAATATAACGAGTATTTCAGTCTAAAGCCTCTTTGTAATTGATTCTGCCGTATATCACATAAGGATTACTTTGGGTATTTGTTTTGACTTGCATGTCTTCCTAATTTGTGATCTGATCAAACATGATAACCGTGTCGCTGGAGGATACAGAATGCTGACGTTATTATCTGTTGCATGAAGGGAGCTTTAATAAATGAGCCCTCTGAATCCGTGTATGGAAAACATATGCTTGGAATACCAATTTTCATGTTTAATTTGTGTCCTCATGTGAACTTACTTTTCCCACTACAACTTAGATTTATTCCGGGATCATCTTTTTGTAAGCTGATAGTAAAATTAGATGAACTCTTTCGTCAGTTCAACACCCCGAAGGATCGTCTAATGTTTCCATCCAGTATTTAACGATGTCAAAAAAATGAAAACCTCACCTGCCCCATGGGATAGATCACAGCAGTCTGATAACCCTGCAGCGAAAAAGACTAAATAATCTTTGTAGAAACTTTCTTGCCCTCAGGGTGATTAATAAAGCTGCTTATCATAATGAACATGACTTATCTGGCAAAAAGATTATAAACAAAGGGACTAAAAGAATAGCTTAGGGTTATTATTCCAAAGTTATAATGGGCCTCATTGTTTCTCATCGATCGGCAACCCTGAATCTATGAACAAACTCAGTCTTTTTCTCAATGTGTCCACAATTATGTTTGTAACTTTCACAGAAACACACGTCAGTTGTGCAACGGAGCAGTGTTTAAGACTCCTGGGTCACATCTAGGTCTTGGAACAGGCCTTCTTAATGCAGGTGGAACTGCAGAACACCAGTGTCTCGGTCTCAGATGGATAATAATTCAGTTTAAAAAAAAAAAGCTGGAGTCTGACCTAATTAGAAACAGAAATGAAAACATGTCATGCTGCTGTAGTCATGATTTCAGCAAGTTGAAGTACTGGAATCACCCAGTGCGGCTTAGTCCAACCTTGGGACCACTTGAAGGGGATTTGATTTTTATCATGGCTCCTGTTCAAGTCGACACCCCTCATATGAGCTTGACAGTGATTTACCAGTGACAAAAGTAAAAGCCAATGTTCTGAGTGACTCCAAGGTGTGGACAATGTTTCTGACCCTCAGAGGAGACCTGGGTTCAAAGAGTGTACCTTAATGACATTATGTTTGCTGGTCGCCTTGTGAGTTTTTTAATCTCTTGCATGGGTGGCTATTTGTTTTCTCTGTGCTCTCTGTAAGTGCATAGCTCCATGTTTTGTGAGCAAAAGGGAGAGATAGAGCGATAGCAACAGAAGAAAGGAGTGTCTGTGTGTACCAGGAAAAAATGTGGAAGTGATCAAGAAACTTAAGCTTCAGTCTGCCTTTCATTGCCCTTTAAATCCTCTCTTAATCACCTTTCTGTCTTATACAAACCTGTGACCAAAACCAAACAACACAAGGGCTCAAGGCTGTACAGGTTTACAGGACACATGAAAGCCAAAAACAGGCAGGCGTGTGATCTGACAATAGGAAACCTATCAGTAATATTTGCCCTGTTGTCTGTCTTTGTGCCTCTCTGTAGCTTCTCTAATTGGAGGCCAGATCAAAATGTTGTGGCAACTCCACTGGTCATCACCAATGATGTTTGTATTGGTCAAAGAAACTATTAAATTTCTCCTTTGCCATCACCAGAATTACTTTTTTTCTTGTAGGCCTGAAAATGCTGGCCATGTGTTGTCTGAAGGTTGTAGTGCAGCCTCCCTCCACTACTGGGGGCTGTAGCTCCGATTAAAGGCTACAATCCTCTATTACCCAGATGTGAGTAACCCCTTAGTAATGATCAACCAGCTCACGCATGGGGATGTGACTTTGCAGGAAGTACCAAAGGGTGGTGGAGCTAGTTCTGCTAATGGTAGCCACAATCAACAGACTCATCTGACACCGTTCATGAGCAGTCCCTGTGATCCTGTTTTTATCCACGTAAATGAATTTTGCCCATTTTGGACTGTTAGTCAGTTAGTCAGAATTTAAGTTTGTGTTTCAACAGCAAGATAGCTAGTCGCTTTGGAACATCGTTTAAGTGTGTAAATATACATGATACAGGGTAATGGAAATGATGGCTGGGTTTTCCATGATCTAATGGGAGAAGTAAAGTCAACCACAATATTTTGACAGCATTGAAAGCTTAATTTTTTAAAGCACAGCATGAATTCCCCTCAGCAGTATTCAGTGTATCTGTCACAATTTTACCACTGAAGTGATCACACACAAAGGTTTGATTTCTTCTCTTCATCGGCATATAGAACACAGTCATCTGCATAGAGTATAACAAATTAGTTGATGACAGATACCAACGCTGTGCTGACATATTGTATAATTAAATTTTTAAGTATCAAATAATAATCCAAATCTAAGGTAAAAATACACAATCAAATTGGACAACCCTCAGTGAATGCTGTTGTTGAATAAAAAAAGTAGCCAAAGTCATGTGTCATGACTCATAAGAACATCAAATTGTAGGGAAAAAAACACTGTCAGGAAAAGCAGGAACTGTTTGTTCCTTCTTAGCTTTCCGTTTAGGTCTCATATCTCAACTCTGCCACAGACCTCTGAGCCAACACCAGTCTAGTCAGTCATCATTGCCTTATTGTTTGTGGTTCATGTCTGTGTTGATACACTGGATAAACAATATCACAGAATATTTAACTTCATGTAACTTCATAACTTTCCTTTTCTTTTTTTTTTACTATCGACCCTAAAGTCAAGAATCACAGCTTCTCATTTCCTAGTAGTTTTTTTTTTTTAGGAAAGTTTTAAGCCTGTACTGTTAATTATTTGTACTGTATATCAAAGTAACCTCAAGAAAAATATGAGAAACAAATAAAAGTCATGCTTTAAGGAGAGTTTTAAATCTAATCTGAGGATGCGTACTTGCTCCAATTTGAAGACGGGGTTTTGGCCGCCTGGGAATATTCTTTTTTTAAGTTTTCCACATTCAGACACCAAGTCAGTTACAAGATACAATTTGGAGCCTGTGTGTTCAACAAATCATAAAAACCTGTTTGAATAAAATCAGAGGCCATATAAGTCTCTACCCCGTGTGGCACTCTTCCCGTGAAAAAGGGGGGACTGGGGTGCTATTTTTGGTCCTCTAGGAGATAATTAAAACTTTCCCAGGGTGTCAGTAGAATGAGATATGTTCTGTGGATTATAGCAGGCAGCTTGCAAAAAGCAAGTAAAACTAAGAGCTTGTTGACACATATGGTTTATTTCTCTGCAGCCATGGGCTGTAAATCACTTTTACTATGTCAGCCCTTGTCTGGCGTACATATTACCATTTGTTTTTGTTTGTGCGCAAGTAACTGCTGCACCTCTTGTCGCAATACTTATCAGCATGCCACTCAGTCATTACTCAGGCTGCTTTTGGCTTACATGTGTGTGATAGGGTCTGGGCATGGGCTGAAAAGCCAGGCAGGGAGAAGGCAGGCTTTGCCTTGTTGTGTGAGTGTGGATGTGTAGATGTGTGGTGGGATAAAATTTTGAAATCAGGAGCACAACACTCGTCCATCTTGGCAGCAGACCTGTGACACTGGAGAGAGAGTGTAGCAGCAGCAGCAGAGCCAGCCAATCATTCTGCCAATCTCTCTCCCTGCTGGAAACAGGTCTTTTCCACTCTTTATTAGATCTGATTTATACTTTTTGTAAAGTACCGAACAACGCAGGTTCATGACATTATGCATGCTTTGGCATGAGGAGGTTGTAGAGTGAGCAGCAGAGTGAGGGGCTAACCAAATAAAAAGGCTGCAAACAGGCAGCAAAATCTAAAGCTTTTGCCGACTGCAGGCTTTTATTACCTTGCCAGAAAACTGTCTTGATGCAGTGAGAGACCGTTTCTCATTCAATTACGTGTTCCATGTGTGCGTTCCAAGACTTCATGCACAGCGGCTCCTGAGCGGGCCTGATCTTTCACACACATCCTCATCTCCAACACTCAACTCATTGCCTATCAAAACAGGACTGCACAGGCTCTCTCTGCCACTTGTGTGCATGAATGTTTTATGTGTGCCTGTTCAGTGTCTTTATGTGCTCATTGTGTTTCAGGGATATTTCCCAGAGAAGATGTTGAGGCACGTGCCTCATTGCTTACCCACTCGGTAGTTCAGCGCAGTGCTTTAGGCAGTCACTGTGTTTCTTGTTCGATGGAACGTGTACAGGTGGTTCGAAGCACATGTTTTAACACCAGTCACCTGTTGAACAAGAAAATAGCACTTGTATGGGTGATATACTGTATATATAGAATAGTGCTGATTTATAATAAACCTTGATTATCCAAGATTTCAGCAGGATTTCATCATCGTTCTTAGAAGTCTAAAAAGTGAAGAGCAGGTTCAAGAAAAGACTGTTTAACACAGAATAATTCCAGCACGTGAACTGTGGTGCATGCACTGAACATCAAGGCTGCTTTACCTCTAACTCAGATGTGTATACATGCAAAAAAAAACAGCTATCCCCCACCTCATCATGCAGGTATGTTTTTCTGACTTTGTATGATTTCAGTTGAATATGTATTTTGGACATTTACTGTCAAAGTCAGACTAAAGCAATAGGCATACATTTATTTTTTTAAAGCTCCTGAGAGCTTTGTGGAGTTTGTGTGAACTTTGGTGCTCCATGTGAACAAAACAGTCTTCGCTTATCTTGTCCTCCTTGCTTCAGTAGTGTCCTCTGACAAAAAATAATATCTCACACTGCTGACTTTTGATGGTTTAACTTTTTGTTTATTGTGAAAATTTTATGTGGAAAAATATCAAAACAGGACTGTTTCCCGAGCTTCTTGGCCGACACCTCCCACCTGCACAAGTTTCAGACATTACAATTTACGATTCAAACACCATCAATTTTGTTTCTTACCTTTTTACTTGCTTTTTTTGTATAATAAAATGCATCATTATAAATTTCAGTCTATTCGATAAATGTCAAAAATCTCATCACAGGAGCTTGAACATCATGTAAACATCGTCTTCTTTTCCTCAAATGGCATATGAATTAAAATTATAAAATTGAATATTTATAATTAGTTGACTGCAGAGGACAAAATATTTGTTAGGCTGCATCCCAGGTGTGCAAGACAGCAGGCAGGCACCTTCACGCACTTTCACATTTGTCACCTCATTTCTGGTATCAAAATTAGGGATGTACCAATCCGATATTCGGATATTGGTTCTGTTATTGATAAATTAACTGGATTGGATATCTGATGAATGACGCCAATCAAGGGTTCTGATCCAGTCTTTTTTTTTCTTCTAAATAATATCATACACAGCAACACAATGATTCTGTCTATACTTTTGCAATAAATGTTTACATGGAAGTCTTACTTCTTTTTGTTGTGTGCTAATGTGCAATTTGTTAATAAATAATATGAAAGAAATTTATATCTGTGTTAATTTGTTACCTTCTTTTTTTTTTTTTAACAAGGCTAATGTCAAGCCTGAAGACTTCACTCACAGGGAAAGATGTACAGTTCATTCATTCAACAGTAGTATTGCATCAGTATCAGATATTTTGGCAAATACACTCAGCCCAGGTATCGTATCGAATTGGATCGAAAATTATGGATCGGTGCATCACTAATCCAAATGATATTAATTCCATGGTGCTGTTTTGGGTTTTGGCCCACACTATCCTCATCCTTTCGCTCCTGCAAACACAGCCAACCCTAAAATCTTAACACTGCTCACACATGGATGCAACACTCTACATACATACACTCTGGCATTTATACTGTCCTATAAAACACTCTCGAGCAAGATGTGCTGAAGGCCATCTTTTAAACTTTAAATGTTATTCCCATTACAATGATACTGGAACATTCCTTTAACATCAATGGATAACAATTATGAGTTAAACATACATGCTGTGGGTTCCCGTCAGTCATAAGCCCCTAGAATTGTCCAGACTTTTCTCTCCCATATGGTGTCCTTGGATACAATTTCAAGTTTTAAAGGTTGGAGATTTAGACCTATAGAAGTGCTAAAAATCATTTCTTTCTGTTTGTTTAAACAACTCACAGGAGAAACAAATGCACTTATGCATGCATATTCACGAACAGTGCAACCCTCAGAGGTACAGTAATAAAAAAGTGATGGTAACATGAGAAGAGCTGCAGCCAGCTGATGCACCAGTAAAGAAAAGCCTCTAAAACAGTGTAGGCTAATTGGATGAAATCCTAAAAGATGGTCATAATGTAAATGTAAGAGGTGGGTAATCTACACTCAAGGATACTCAGAATTTGTTTAATAAAGTGACAGTCAATGTAAATATGGCTTTTATTTGTTTATGTGTGTAAATCCTTTCATACATCCAGATGTAGGGGGCACTACAGAGGATTCAGGCTGCCCTGGATTTGGTTTTCCCAGTTTTACGACATACGAGCGATGTTGATACATGCTACTAAACACATCACATAAAAGTCTGCATGCCTGCTTGACTTTTATTTTTACTAACTCAGGTTTACTGTCATTTTCAGTTTGTTCTGTTAGTATCAGTTATTGGTGGCTGCACATATCTGTTTTGGACCGAGCGCTCGTCTTTTTAAATCTTTGGTCTTCTTGAGTACTCCCTGTTTTGTAATACGGGCAGCATTAAAACCCTTGCTTTGGAATACTTATGGTAACATTGTACAATACCAAAGCCAAACTTTAATGATTTTTTTCCATCTTTTCTCCTCTTTGAACTTCTAAATCTGTTTGCGCCACAGATCAAAACTTTTTCCTCAGGCTCTGATTAGTTAACTCTGTCACCTGTGTACGAGACAGACTCAGCCTGCCGATTTATGATGCCTGTTCTTGCTCTGTCCTGTTCTAAATGATCACAGTTTCCACATTAACAAGCCAATTTTTTTTTACGTGCCTGTCTCTGCTACAAAGAAACGTCAATTGTCTTTGACTGCAAAAGATCCCAGCCTCTGAAAGTGGAGATGTTGTTTGAGATTAAAAAAGACATTAGGGATAAGAATTGCTCTGGGGGAAGACGGTTTCTGAGTGGGTAAATATTTGATCCCGCTGATCTTGACAGTCTGCCTTGAAAAGCATTGACACAATGTGCTGAGGGCAGTGAAATGATGCTGCTCCTACACTTTGATCAGGGCTGAGTTTACTTTTTTTTAACATGGGTGATGGATGAGCTAAATCTTATTTTACAGTTGCTGAAATCAGTGCTGTAGAGTTCTGTAAATGGCCCGCGGTTGACCCAACTTATTGGCAGCGTCTGTCCACAGCTGCATAACATATTTTCTCTTTGTGTTCCTCAGCTCCAGCTCTGACCCTCGCCTCAACTGATTCGCCACAGAGGCAAGGCCACACAGGTATGCACTGATTCTCCCACTTTAAAAAGCTGCTTTTATTTTCTTGTGAATGAGTGCTTGATTTCACCGTTAGCCTGCCTGGTTATCAATTTTTTTTCTTCTCCCTCTTTCACAGTGTGTAAATCAGATGCTGTGAATCTAATTGGTCTTTGCTTTAATTACATGCAAGAGTGCTGCTCTCTGTGGACCACACTACTGTTTTCCCTGCAGGATTTGGAGGCTTGTTTATGCATGAATATGAGTTTTATTGGTCTGGACAGTGCACTGACGATAAGTGAGCAGCCAGTGATCTGCTTTCAGTGCTGCCCAATCAGGCCTGTAAACAGAGCAGGGTTGGGAGCGAGCTAATGAAACAGAGACTCGGTCCATTTTCTGCTGCTTTGATCCACATTACAGGCCCTGCTGGACCGCAGAGTGCTCCTTCAATGTCTTGCCTCCCGCTTATTCCAACCACAGAGCTAATTGGTCAGGGTCTCCTTGCTTCGCTTCTGCTGTTTGCGGGACAGTGACCAGAAGATTAGTGAGCAGCAAGCTGGATCTGGTACTTTGCAGACTCCTCAAAGAGGTGTACGCTGTTGTGTTTTGATATTTGGATCTTTGTAAGTGAGGCTGCACATGTGAACAGCGGGACTTTTGGTGCGTATGCTTGGGTTAGCATGTAAAAAGGCCTTATTTTGAGAAGTGGATGAGAGAAGTGTCAATCCAAAGCAGGCTGTATCACAGCGGGCCCGTTAAAGAGCTGGACCGAACTCTGCCGCATTCTGTCCCGTAACTCAGGCTATGACTCAGAGGAGCTGTTAGAGAGATGGATAAATCAAAGAGCGGGGTTGTTGAGTTTGGTTTACTCTTCACCACAAATATGCTCAGTGTGTTAGCTTCCCATTGGTGAATCACAGGGTGATGGTGGGAAGCAGAAAGGAAGGACAAGAGGGAAAGCAGGCAGTCAGACAGATAGATGGACAGTTAACACCTACTGATATGGAGGTTACACTAATTCTGGCCTGAGTGTTTTTGGCATTTGGACTGGGCCTGAGGAAGGGGATGTGAAGAGGGGCGCGAGAGATGAGAGGGAGGCGTGGAGGCAAGTCTGGGTCTGAGTGGAAACTTGAATGGAGTGGAAACTGGGCTGGAGGCCACTCAGCAGATCCACCTGAACCCTGCCAGAGCAATCAGCTATCAGGCGGTTTGAGAGGGGACCATTTGCCCCCTAAGTGAATTCAGTAGGGGTTTGTAGGGATTTGGCCGCCTTTTTGAGCTCTAATGCAGGGATATTTTGGTAAGTGAAGTCCTCTTGTTTTCTGGAGAGAAAGCCAGAGCCTGTCTGCCTTTTAATGGGATCACAGCAGACACCCCAGAAACCACCGCCAGGTGAAGTGATTCCACTCTCTACTTCCAGCTGTGTAAACACTCTCACAAACACACACAATCTCCCCCTGCTCACACACACGCATAGACACATGTACTATCACTTCTAATAAAATGCTCGCTGGCTCACATCAGGGGAAATGCTCCCTTTCCCCTTTTGCTCTCAAATAAAAACAAGGCTCATTTTTCTGCCTTTGAGAAACCTCTTGGCCTTGTTAAACACAATGACTTGCTTGAAAGATGTAAACAAATTTAACAAGAGCTGGTTTTGTCCTTTCTCAGGCTGGAAGGGAGAAAGACATTGTCTTGCCTCTTTCACCTCATTCTGACTTTGATTTCATTCTCATGTGAATCTTTTATTTAGCTTTCTTGTCAACATTAATTCTGTTTGTTACCTTTACTCTCCTTGCCTGTAATTTAGTCTGTCCTGCACCCTTATTAGACCTTGATGTAGTGATATTTAGATCTCACATCAACCTCTTTTCCTGAATCAATGCTGAAAATGTTTATACTACAATCGTACATTATGAAACTTTGTGAAATTTTGGCCTCGGTCACTTTTGGATGCAGCTTCACTCAGCCTGCCTGCAGGGCACGTTTCTGCAAAGAGTGAGGGGAGGAAACGGTCTTAGTGTCCAGGCAGTAGCTGTACTGTTAAAGGCATTTGGTCTTTCAAACTCCATTGTTTATGTAACCAAGAGAAAGTGGAGACTCCCCGATGGCCCTTTTGAAAAGCAGATGCCGGAGATTTTTGCCTCTGCTTTTTATGGCTTATTTGCTACCAAGGAGATTGTGAGATTTCATATGGGACTGAATCTTTCATCACTTTGCACGTGTCAGGCAGAAGTTATCTGCAAACGGGGGCTTTAACTGATTATGAGTGTGTGTACAGCCTGTTCTCCGTTCTCTGGAGTTAGACTGGATGGTTTTATCATCTGTCCAATGTAACACCTTTAAAACTTATGTGAAGAACATTTTAACCAATAGATCCACTTTTTACAGCAGAAGTCAAACCTCAAGCTGAGGTTCCTCTTCCATAAAGTTACCCGGACCTGTCAGAAGTGAGAAAGGAGGAAAGATGATGGACTAACAAAAGACCTATTTGCAGACGCTGGCAGACTTAAGTGTTAGACTTAAGTGTCCTAAAAGGCGGGGGAGTATGAGCAATGTGAGAAACCACTTGGCAAATCATCACCCTGAAAAGATTAAAGGAGACCGGAGGTAAAAGAAAAAATAATAATCCAGCCAGGTCCAAAGACTGTAATGTAAGCACTTATTGCCTAACCTACAAGATGGTTAGGTTGCCGCTCCCAGAAGGTTAATGATCTTAATGTCCAATCAGTGTTGGACACAATGTTGGATCAATGTGGCGCTTTTTATGGGGGTATTATCATTTATATGGAAACATCCCTCGTCTTCAGTTTATGGCAGGTGTGAGGTTTTCCTTTCAGTCACATAATTAACAAAAACACATGATAATAATATGCATATGCAGCACTATTAATATTATAAAGGCAGACTTGCCATACAGATGTAAAAACACTAAATGTCAGAACAGTTAAAGTGAAATTGCAGATCCAGACTAATTTTCCAGCTCTGCTGATGATTGCGCTGTATCTCCTCTCAGCTGTTTTCACTTCACCATCAAGGCTGCCCACGCTGCAGAAAGCCCCTTTCTCAACAAGTCAGTTAGTTTCCTATTTAGCCTTGGCGGCTAATTTTTCATTAAGTAAGGGAAATATCCAGAGACTGTTCCACGTGTGAAATCAGATGGATGTGCTTGTCTGGATGGGACAGCTGAAACAAACACACCCTCAGGTATTTTTCACTCTATTATCTTTTCCTCAGATGAGCTCAAGTGTCAACATTATTTTTATTACCGTGCTATCTTATGTTCGGCCTGTTTCACTGAGGCCTTCGTATTGTTTGAACATATTTTGTGTCATGTGTGTAGCCATGTGTGTAGCCAGCTGGAAGGTGAGGTGTTTTTAATAAAAATCCAACCATGCCTTACAGCCGCAGGATGAAGGTCCAACGTATGCTGTCAATCTGACAGGATTTGATGCCAATGCAGGCAAACTGGTCCTCAAAAGATATATTAGCCGTGAAGAGAGTTTTTTTGTGATGTGTAGAAATACAATCCTAGCCCTATGGCGCATAACGGGTGTTTTATCCAGCTGTGATATGCTTGTATTCGTATTTGGATGAAGATTTTGTTTTGGGAGGATGATAATTCTTAAGAAAAATTGCTCTTCCCCACTGGTGCATTTCTCGGAAAAACTGGCAATTTTCTCAGAAACTATCACGACTATTATTCGACCGCTCTGTGACTCAGTGCTACAATTGTAATATTAAAGTTGTCTGTCGAGCACAAAGAAACTTTGAATAGTGTGAAGGAATTTGATTTCCAGCTGGAATTAAATATTTGGTTATACCACTTAATTTTGTTTGGACAACTACAAAAGCCCTTTGAGAAAATAAGTATGTTTACCGTCCTCAGTTTTCCTGTTAAATCGTCTCTTCTGAATTTACCCTTCAGTGGGACTTTTCTCCATCTCTTTGTTCCGACCTCTTGGGCTTTTTTTTTTTGTCTCTGCAAACCCCTCTATGGACTCAAGACTGTGCATTTTGAGACAAGTCGCCAATCCGAGCCCTCCTGGACTGCATTAGCTCCTGTGTTAGCTCAGAGCTCAGCGTTATTGAAAGAGTCTGGGCTGCAGCCTCATCTGTTTGCTCAGCTGGATGACTCAAGCGTCCCCCGAGGATCAGTCAGCTGCTGTCCCTCTGGATGTGCCACCAAACATTCACCACTGCTGTGGTCCCTGCCTGGTCCACATACATGAAATAGTGTGGGGGTTTACGGGAATATAAACTGGCTGCGTCATACATAAATCTGTTTTATGCACGGGAATAGATGGAGGGAACCTGATGTGACACACAGCTCATGGTATAATGTAGTCTATGTCATTGGGTGTAAATTTATGTGCTGGTGTTCTCACTTGGTTTTATGTTGGGCTGGCTATCAAACTTTATTGGTCACTTTAACTGCTTCTGAGGACAAACATCTCAAGGGTGTTGATTTTGCAAAGAGACATGACATATGTCACATTTTTGTGTTGTTCACTAATTTGTTTTTTATCCTAATTTGAAGGTAAATTGATGTAATTTCACGTGAATTTTAGAGGTTAAAAGTTCTGGTACAGTTTGGTTTGTCAAACGTGTAGAGGACCTTTTCTTGCTTGAAGTTCTCTTTTTGGAGAATATTTAAAGACCCACTCCGATGAAAATCATGTTTTTCCTGTTGTCTACATGTTCATATGGCATTTTTCTGATACTAGAGGACATATGAGGAAAAGAAATGCGAAATGGCATTTCTGAGTATTCATCTATTCAAATAACTGAGTCTCTGGCAGACCCAAATTGCAGACTCAGACACAGTAAGATTTCCTACGTAACCAATCCAAGCTCTGCCCCCCGAGCCCCACTATGCAGGCCAGGCTTGGAGAAATAAAGAGAACTATCATGAAACAAGCATCTGCGATTTCTGACGTTGTTTTAGATGTTTGTAATATCAGGAGCAATGTTAGCCGATTGTTTGTTTTGCCGATTCGTGCAGTTTACAGCTCAACAGCTCTAGTAAACAAATAAGAAATGTCCCGCTTTCTGTCCCAAGGCTGCGCGCGCATACCTGCGATGACGCTGCACAGAAACTTCTGATGATCAAACTTACTTTATTTTCAACAGCAAAAGGCAAATGTGAAAAATATGAGTTCGATTGTAGGCTTGGAGAAAATGCATCTTACACTGCTAAAAGCTAATTTTACAGAAAGCTTTGATTTATTGATCAGAACAAGAGATGGTTTAAATGTTAGTAAAAGCACTTGTATGTTTCAGCCCTAGAAAGAAGGGTGTAAAAATGTCAAATGACTCCCAGCTCTGGTTTTATGTGGTATATGACCCGTAAAAATGATGTGGATATTAGGGTGGCGAGAAGTTTTATCTGACTTCAAAATTTTGGGTATTTGTTCTGCCAGCTGATCCCCTCTCCGCTGACTTTTGAGGCTCCACAATGACCTTCTGTCTGGCTGGCTGACTGGATTAGTGGTGCAGAGAGCTGAGAGGCAGCTGAGTGATATACTGTGTGTGTAAAAGTAAAGGGCGTTATGTAGAACATAAGCCAGAAGCAGTAAAAGCCACAATATATCTGGAAGGACGTGTCTTTTCTACAGCACATCTATCCTTGGTCTTAGTGGTGTGCAAGTGTTTCTGTGTGTTTATATATGTGTGTGTGTGTATGTGTGTCCCAATTCCCCAAACTGGAGCCTGGCCTCACAGAGAGACCCCATGAGCTGATTTATGTTTAGATTTCATTCCATTCATTCTGTAATGTTGGGTAGGTTTCAGCAGGAACTGTTGACCACTAAATCACCCAATAAAATGTGTGTCATATGTGGCTGACAATGCGAGCTACATGTTATTAACTATACATCATGGTTACTCAAAGTCCTCCTGCGCTGAGCAGCACTGGCAGAAAACCTAGAGGGTAGAAACATGCATGAAGTGAAACATGCCTGTGACTTCAAGTTTGTTTGCCCTATAGCGCACATATTTGACTCTGTGTGTGTGTGTGTATGTGAGGCAGAAAACCATGCAGCGGTAGCCTAATTTGTAGAGATAGTGGCATCATTAAACTGAGTCTGAGTAATGGAGACTAATGTGGGATTAGGAAGACCTAATGGCCTGCTCTCGTCTGGAATGCTTCGGCAGCAGCTCTCGGCGTGGAAAATGGAGTGATATGGAATATCTTTTGACAAGCCTTCATTCATTTTCATAAATGGATGCTAATGGGGAAAAATATAGAAGAAGGGCTCAGCTGTGGAAAAAGAGCACAAGGTCAAGGAAAGCTGTATGAGTTATTATGTTTGGTGTCCAAAAGGATATGTTGGTGATCTTCATGGCTTTAGAAAAAGTGGCGTGCCATTTTTGAAGTCTTGTATTAGCTAATGTTTTCAGCAGCTTTTGACAAATACTTTTGTGTTTCTAAGCAGAAGTGGGAGTCTTGTTGATTGTCTATCCCAGCCACACTACCACTAATGGAGGTGTTGGATTTACAGCTCCTGTGGGGAGATTTCTGACATTTATGAAACAGGCTGAAATTTATTTTGAAGCAAACAAGAATTTAAGAAATTATATTGATGATGCTTGTATCGTCATCGCCTGAAACTTGTGCGGTAAAGTAGGTGTGAGCCAAGCCGCTGGAGGAACAGCCCTGTTTTTACTCTTTTCACATAAAAATTTTCATAATAAACATGAACTTGGCTGTCGAAAGTCAACAATATGAGACCTATCTTGAGCCACATTGTTCCTTGTCCTAATCCGGCTTTAATTACTGGGAGGTGGGAGTGCTTATTGATGCTCGACTGGCTCCATTGCTTCTCTCAATAAGTTGCTCAGCTCAGTCTGTCACACTTTAAAAGTATTGACTGTATATAAATCAGATAGAGTAAACAACACCCTCATTTTCTTTCATTGTGAGGCATGATGAAAAAAAATTACCTCAATAGGCGGTAGTTTATTTTGCCAAGACATGTGCAGAGGTGATCTGGCTGGTAGAGCTAGGGGGGCGACGTCACACCCTTTCTGCTAATCAAAACACAAACACTTAACTCAGTGATACTATGTCCAGCAGAACTAATTCTTGTGTTTATCTGAAGCCGACACCTTTAGCCATGGAAGTTTTAATAACTCTTGTGTTTGTGTTTTCTTTCGCCGTTCCTCCTCTGCTGCTTTTGTTCCATACAGAGTGCTGTTCAAGCCCTCATTTGTCCACAGGGATGTCAATAAATCAACTTTTTATAATCAAATAACTAAATTATTAGGGGTGGGAGAAAAAAATCAATTCACATAAGTATTGACATTTTTTGTTTTACAACTTTTAAATCGATTTTTTGTTCAAAAATCTTTTTCTTTCCAAATGTAAGAAAAAATCTAAAAAACTGACTTCAATTTGGTGTTTAATTTTTGGGGAAGTATAGTTCCTGGAATAGTCAGTAGACAAACATAATCATTCAACTGTTTCATTGGTGTTAGAAACGCAGACTAAGAATCGAGAAAATCAACAATACCTTAGAATCGCAATTTAAATCGAATCGGCATCCAAAAAATAGTAGAAGAATCGATTCGGAAGAAAAGCATATCGTCCCAGCCTTATAAATTATACACAACTTTTTAGGATAAGTCAAAACATGTTGAAGAAAAATTCATCCTGGATTTTTTTTTAAAATCACAGTTTGACGCTGGTTTCATCTGTTACATGGGGGAGGTGGGATAATGACTTAAACTTTAAAGCTCTAAAACTTTTGTCCTCACAGTCAGTTACTACCTATGGTGTCCCTTTTATTAGACAATCTAGGCCCTAAAACTTCTTCACTTGGTGGTCTCTCATGTACCAACAACCTCTGTGGTTTTCAGCCGGCTTAGCTAACCAAGAAAACAATCAAAATTGGGGAAAGTCACAGTGGAAATTAGATTTTGAAAAATGACTTTAATCAGTGCAAAAGTTTCAGACTCGTATCTTTTCAAATAAAGTCCACTCGATTTTGGTTTCAGCAGCGAGACACAAACTTGTGAAATACAATAAACATACCACAGGTACTCCCTGCAACTTTTCTGAAATCACCAATCACTGAGGTCTCTTAGACTTGACAAAAAGTCAAATAATGGCAGTTTGTTTGTGCTGTCCTTTACTAGTGTGACCTCCATCAGACATATTGACAGGCTTGAATTATGAATGTCGTGCAGGTCTAAAACTGCACAGATTTACTTTTTCCACAATGACGCCATAGTGGTCTGCGCAGAAGATTAGACGTGCCTCTAGCTTCACTTAAACAGCAGTCACTGATCATTTCCTCGACTGAGTGAGTGGGTGAGTGGGTGGGGGATGGTGGCAGAAAGTGAAGAACCATTCTGTGTTTTCTAGGAATTAAACTTCTGGAAAAGAACTTGCACTGCACCCCCATCTCCAACCCACCCCCACAGCTGGGAGTCCCTCCGTGGTCTGCCTCGGCCCCCATACTGAGACCACTGGATGCCTCTATCAATGGAGCTCTCTTCTCCAGCCTTCAGTCACTTTGCATTTCTATATCTGCTTCCTCTTCTCCCCTCTCCTTGCCGATTTTCACCCTACCTTCATCGTTTGAGGGGAAGTTTTCAAGAAAGACTGGACCATTTTTCAAAATGAAAACTTAAAGAAGTGAACCTCTAACGGTTAATCAGTAAAGCAGTCTGTTTTTCGGGATTGGGGGTTTTCATTTTCAACTTGTTTTTTCTGCATGAGCTCAGTCTGTTTTTATTGTAGGATTTCTTTTTGAGGGTGTTTCAAACCCAATTTGATCAAACTTTGACTTAACATGATTGACAACGGGATGAAAATCGTAGCAGAGTTACGACACACTGCTAGGTATGTGACGCGGTGAAAGATTCAGTTAATAAGGCATCTTGAACAATAAATTACAAACGTACCACAGTAAAAGACTCATTATTTGACAAGTCTATCATACTTGACACAATATAAAATGCAACACCACTCAAAGGTATTTGATTTGGAGTTAAGCTGAAAGCCATTCATAAATGTACACCCATGGATTTTTACATCATCAGGATTTTACCCGCTCCATTTCCAGCCCCAGGTCTGGCTTCAGACATCGATATGACTGGAACTGTTATGTCAACTAATAAAACAACTCAAGGATTTATTTTTGAAGCTATTTCCTACAGAGCTCTGGTTATTTCTTCTCTGCTGCCATGTCTACTGACATCTTATAGGAATGGAAAACAAACAGTGTGTGTGTAGATAAGGGTGGGAGTGTGTCTGTAGGGGTTTGAATCTGATGCTCTTTGCTCCAGTAGTACTGCTTAGATTTAAAGAGCTGACTGATACATAGCATATAATTCTGTGTGTAGTCCCTTACTGTCACTTTATCTTAAGTTCCTAGATTTAGTGAGTTAATTTGCTAAATCTACAGAAAGTTCCCTTAAACTCTCATGTTGTCAGATTATTATAACGTGTGGCCTCGGGAAGTTTTGCCAGTTTTTGATTTACAGCCTAAAGGAAGCATGTGCTTATTTCTCCTTCCTCAGTTATTCTTTATAATATTTTGCGGATTAGCTCCATATCTGTCAAGAGAAAAGGTTACTGGGCCTGCTGATGAAGCTTAATTTAATCTGTGCAGCCTCAAAGCCTCTGCAAGTGCAAATAATTGCCATAGTGCAACTTTTTCCCCTTCTCTTTAAAATGTTTGCGAAAACAGTGACTATTAACAAGTTACTTTGAATGCTAATTTTACTTTATTTTTCAAATTTCCTTCACTTATCTGGGTCTGGGTCATGGGGGCAGCGGTCTCAGCAAGTCAACCCAGACCTTCCTCACCTTCTAGCTCCTTCCAAAGGCGTTCCAAAACCAGATAGGATATCTTTATATAAATAATCCCTCCATCAAGCTCTGGGCCTACCACAAGGTCTCCCCCCACTGGCTCTGACACCTTCACAGGTAGATGTCCCAAAGGCGTCCTTATCATCCGTCTAAACCACTTCAGCGGACTCTAGCAGTGGCTCTATCTGGATGTCCAAACTTTAAAGCCTATCTTCAAGGCTGAGCCCAGACACCCTTCTGAGGACACTCATTTCAGCCTTCATGTGGTGTTGGATTCACCACAAAAACAGTTTTCTGAGATGGGAATTGCACTGGAATGTAGGGGTGGGAATCACTAGTTGCCCCACGATACGATATTATCACGATACTTGGGCCACAATACGATATTATTACAATTTTGAACATTTCGCAATACAGTGAGTATTGTGATACAATATACGAGATTTATACAATTTTTTCAACTGTTTAGCTAATTAAGCATTTAGCTTTCCTTTATGTTTGTCTTATTAACGCTGTATTTTATTTTCATGTAGCACATCTTGCAAACCTTATATATATTTGTTGTACTAACTTTCTCCTGCTCTATGATGTCACCTCTGCCAACCTCACTGGACAAACAGTTGATTTTATTTTTCCAGTATTATAGATTTGACTTCATACTAACAATTAATTTGGGAAAAATCGATACTTGGTAAATGAGACGATACAATATATCACCAGACAAGATATCGCAATACTATGCTGTATCGTTTTTTTTCTCCCACCCCTACTGGAATACATGCTTAATCTGTAACATTTATCATTATGACTATGTTTTGCTATTGTATCAAAACTTTTTGGCTAATTCGTTTTTTTCTCAACTATATTTTGCAATATGTGTATGTAATTTGTACCAACACTAGTTTAGTATTAACTCTTAAGAAACCAGCAGCAAAAAAGCTCCCTGTTTTCAGAGGTAGTAGTTCAAATGTCTTAGATGAGAAAATGGCAGCACACAACAATTCATGATCTTTGACCTCCTCCAACCTAACTCATCTCTTATAAAAAATAAATAAATGAAAAATTTTCCCAACTCCGAGGGGGCTCACATTCAGCTGATGTCATGTTGCATGATTTCTGCTGATAGTCTAGTTGAATCATTTCATTATAGCAGCCAGATATAGAAACCTGGGGATTAAGTGTCTTCTCCTCGGTGACCAACACACTGACACGGACGGTCCCCGCTGAGTTGTGATGGAGACATGCTTCCCAGGCATTGTTTAAGAGATTTACAGATGCTTTGTAAACTCATCAGGAAATAATCCATCGGGGATCAGAGAAATATTTTAACTGTCACAGAATTTTCCAGTATTAAGTAAAGATAAGACTTATTACTTTCTTATATGGGAGATCAGTACTACATAGTTACACTGCTTACTATGAAACACATGTACACATATACATATTACAGTACTCAGATATGTAACTGTCTCTGTGTTAGGGGGGATAAGGGGATACTGATCTGATCGACAGCCCTGCCACATGGCTCTTGTTGTCTTGTTTGGACTGTCAGGGGGGACAGTCTGGGCAGTCTGGGCTGCTGGCTGTCATATCTCTCACTTTCTTTTTGTGATGATCAACACTTTTCTGTTTGTGTTTCTGTTTTTCGTTTGCATGCAGATTAGATTCAAACCAGACAAGTGGATTTCTGTTTATTGCACATTTTGTCCAGATCTTATCTGCTCCTTCCACCACGACGACAGAGCTGCTCCGTGTCTCTTCCCCAGCCCTCCCCCTCATGTAGGCACAGAAGGACTGATGTTAATAATTTGACTGCTGGATCCTGTCCCGTAGGCCCATATGGTTTCACTGGGATGGATCAGGATTATTAATCGTGCTCTGTTGCCTGTGAAAAATGAATGTGATACTTCTATTGTATTACAGCAGGCTTTGGTGAGTGAAATGTCTTGAACACTTCGTCTGGATAACAGCACCAGGTTGTTTCCTGAATATAAAGAGTCATCAGGTAATAATAGTCTCTCCAACCCTTTGTTGGGCCTTGGCAGCGACTGAACAGGATACATGATATGACGGGTTAAATGTTTGTTTGAATGTACGCACTGCGCCACAGCATCCAAGGTCTTAAATCACTGCATTGTCAGAATTTTCCTAAAACATTCAAAGACAAATAGACCCACATTTCATTTGTTTTACCTCCGAATAACGCAATTGACATATAAATTGATTAGTTTATTTAATTGTGGGCATCTGTTCACTTGGATCCTTACATCAGTTTCTGACTGATTCCAGTTTGGCTCTCACACCAGAGTTCAGCCGCTCTTTGAGCCAAGAGCTTCTATCAAAGGCAGTTGTATAAATAGATAAAGCTAGGATATCCTCCAGTTATAACACTGAGGCATTTGATTGGCTGTGATAGACTAATTACATCAACGTGATTGGCCCACAATCTGAGAAGCGTGCCCTGAAGTCTGCGAACAGCCTCTACCCATTTCCCCTTTGCTTTGCTGGGCTGTCAGTGCCCCGTGTGATTAGTATGTGTGAGAACGTATGTTTCTGACAGGCCCTTTTTCACTTTTACCAAGTAGTGTGGCTCATTTTATGCCAGAAACATCCAAATATTTTTACATATCTTTCGGCATTAATACATGTTATAACATAAACTAAAACAGGTTGCTGTTTAGCCTGAGGATATCCGTAACTTTGATTTGTAGACTCTCTGACCACTTGTGGCACATTTTGTGAAATTGGCCTGGAAGTAAAAAAGAAAACGCGTTTATTGTGTTTTCAGACCTCACTGACACAAAAATGTGTTGGTGGGAAACATTGGATGAAATCATATCGAGTTTTTACAAGACAAATTAATTTGGAACTTTCAAATATCAGATCTTGTGATAACAGATGCAGTCATGGAAACAGGATTCAGAACCACATGAGCCAAAAAAACAGATAAACAATTCAACTAAGTTAATAAAAAATTGAGAAATAGCTTTTGAGTTGACTCATTGTTGCAAATCTTTGAGATGGACCTTTCCTGCAACATCAGCATTTTTGAAGTAATGTTGCAGCTTTTATTTGGTTTCATCAAGACTGTGTATCTCTAATGTTTGGCATACTGGACTTATAATGTGCATTGTACGGTATTATATAATGTCTGACAGAGTGGACTTGGTCAATAGGGGGTATACTATCTTGCACCACTATCCTGTAGACAAACTCGTAACATGTTTTTCTATTTAGTGAGAGGCTGCATGACGTTCAATTGCTGGAAGAAGAAAAAGAGAGTAGCTGTACAAAAAATTAAACAGTATCGGGGACTTTTCTTTGTGGTAAAAACCTTGACAAATAGTGGATCTTACTTGTCGTTCTTCATCTGAGCTTTTTGTTCTCGAAGTTCAACATCCCTTTACCGATGGGAACGATGGGCAAGGGAGTTTTTCACTCTCAATATTCCCATTTGTACTCACTGTACATTTAAGCAGCATGTGAAAAATCCCGCTGAGGACGGCCCGCTTCAGCAGCCAGTTTTGGTGTTTTTTTTACTGTCTATCAAACCCTTCACACCAAAGGTACGTCACTCAGTTACCCGTTTGTGCTTCTTCTTAGAGAAACTGCTTCTTTCAGGGATGGCTTCACTTCTATAATGTGATTTAGTTATCTTGCTGACAGTGCATCACATTTATTTATTTTTTCTTGCGAGAACATGTCACTGTCAAACTCAGTGCTTATCTTTTTATTGCCAGGCCCACCGTGGTTTAAAGTCTGTTTTTCATTTGCAGGCTTAAAGGCTTGTTTTTCCCTTTCGGAGCATGCTCTTTTCATCAGTGGGCCTCCTGCGGACACACACATAACCTGTGCTGACTACTGTATAGAGGTTGCACAGGTCTTTAAACTCTTTTCCCCCCCTGACGTCATGCTTTTTGGTTGTGACAAGTAGCAGTCCCTCTTCCCAGCAGAGCTATAGAGCACGCTAGCCGGAGTGAGGTCACCACAGTAAAACAACACAGAAAGTTTCCTAAGGTCGTAAAAGCTGGCCGCTGAGTGTTTGGAGCACTACAGGAATACGTCCTGGATAATTGGCGGGATAATTTCCGTAGCGGCAGCTGAGGTCAGGCCTGGGCCTCCTTCCCCCGCTGTCCACAGTCCACACATCCAGTCTGAGCCCCTCATCTGCCCTTCCTCCATCGCCATAACATCTCGTCTAATTGCAGTTTTTCCCTTTGACGCCACAATTTGCCCCAACTTTTGGCCGCACTCACCTCATGTGTAGCCATTCTGGTCTGTAATAGTGTTCTCCCGTGGAGATACGGCTGCTTCTGTGAGATAATGTCGTCTCACCGGCTGTTTGAGAGGTGATTTCAGGACTGACCTCTTTTCCTACGATGGGACTTTTGACCTGGAATGTTTTAATGAGCAAAATGAAAACAAGCATAAAAACATCCACAGATTGGAGATGGTTCACACAGTTTAGAGCCGCCGTGATAACGATCTGCACTCCTCATTTACATAATCACTAGACTTTGAATCAAACAGTTTGTGAAAATTCTTTATAATTAAAAGGTGAGAAGAATATTTCTGTGCAATGTTGGTGAAAGATTTTCAAAAACTTCAATATTATCGTCTTAATACAGGTATAAGCAGATACAAAAAGCTCTATCCTGATAAGATGATGCATCCAACACTGAGCCTCAATACACCAGCTGTCTTAAGTATTTTGAAGTATCTGCAACAGACTTGCAAAACAACCCTCCTTTTCACACTGATTTTATTGTTTATCTGTAGAAGAGTCTTCCTGAACAGCACAGAGCCTTTCTGAAAAGAAAAGGAAAAGGGTCAGCTCTGGTAAAAACTCAGTAACAGCAGTTACTTCAGAAATTCAGCCAAGCAGCGACAGTTTTCTCAGAGCTTAATAAAAAAGAATAACTGAATTGATTGCTTTCAATAATCAGCCTGTCATCCTAGTGGAAGATATGAGCTTCTGCAGGTTAATGATGTGCTGAAAGCCTCATTTGTCAGACCGGAGTTATTTCAGTTCAGATGTGGCCGTACCTGAACTGCAAAGCTTCATCTTCAGTAAGGTAGAGAAACTCCTCACTTATAAGAGCTGTCAGTTTTTCCAAAATCAGCTTCGAAAGATTATCGAACATAGCGTGCAAATTGGGGGTGGTAGAAATAATTGATACAACATAGTCTCACGATATTTTGTCTGGTGATATATCGTATCGTCTCATTTACCGAGTATTAATTTTTTCAAATTAATTGTTAATATGAAGTCAAATCTATGATAATGGAAAAATATAATCAACAGTTCGTCCAGTGAGGTTGGCAGAGGTGATAACATAGAGCAGGAGAAAGTTAGTACAACAAATACAGCAGCACCTGGGGAAAGGTATTAGGACGGCAAGCAGGGCACAGATGAGATGGACCTGACACATAAGGTTTGCAAAATGTGCTACATGAAAATAAATACTGTGTAAATAAGACAAACATCAAGAACAGCCAAATGCTAAATTAGCTTAACAGTTGAAAAATTGTATAAATCACAATATATTGTGTTACAATAGTCACTGTATTGCAAAATGTTAAAAATCGCAATAATATCATCTTGTTGCCCAAGTATCGTGATAATATTGTATTGTGGGACCTCTGGTGATTCCCAACTCAAGTGCAAATCTTAAGATACTTTTGGATTTTGTGATCTTACCTGGTTTGCGTGAAAACAGAAAATCATATAGGGTTGAACACTTGATGTTGCACTGCTTGACGGTGGTGCCTCCTCTAACACTGCCGCTTTATGTGGATGTTGATCTATCAGGTGAGCTTGCAGATCTGTCGTTGTTGATGACTAAGACATCAACTTTTTGCAAAGTTAACATACAGCCCTATCTTGGTCTTTTATTTCTCCTCATAGACCAAAAAAATACTTCCACACAGCGCTTCTCAGACGTCTCTGATGTGATTGTCCCCTCAGTGCGGCTTTTCTTGACCATGTCCTCCATTTTTGTAGAATAACATCACTGTATTAGTTTATTGAGGGCCAGGAGTGCTTGGATTGGCCAGGTTACTATGACAAAGCTCTCTGCTGGATCATAAGGCATAATTCAGAGGCTGTACTTGCTGGTGCACTGTATTATTATGAGTTCAAATGGCTCATTACAGTTCAATATGAACTTTTCACCCAGAGTTTGAATTCAGAGTCGATGTAGCAGGTTAATGGTTCTCTTTTTACAAGTACCGGCTTAACTGTTTCCCTCCTTGCTCTTCCTGTGTGTCTCTGTATTTTGTGCTACTAAATCCTAATCTTTTCTTCAAGATGTTTTTACTCATCTTTATTTGAGCTCATCTTACAGCGTCAGCTTCAGTGTTCCCAGTCGAGGCCTGGCCAGCTCAGCGTGTTGGAGACCGGCTCTGTGGGTGGGAGGCAGTTGCATGCGAGGCACACTCTAGGCCGCGTGCTGTTGGCTTTTCTCCCCTTTAAACCTCTGTAGTTTTTCTCCTTTCGCTCACTCCATTTTTCTCCTTTTTCCTCCCCTTTTTCTCGCAGTTCCTGTGGCGGGGGGAAAATCTTACGGTGCGGTTTATTTGTTCTGGTTTGGTGTCGGTTCTCACATGTCCTTGGCAGAATTTCGTACCTCCATGACAGTAGCCTGGATAGCAAGGGATTATCATGATATCATGTGCACGTGTAGGTCGGTCTAGCTGCTCACACTGATGCCATGGTGGGACCGCTCGCTTCGAGCACAGAGAAGTATATTCATGCAGTGTGTGATAGAGCCCGCTATTGTTAACGTTGGAGCACCAAAGTGTGCGACTGCCAGTGCGTTTCCCTGCAACAGCACTTTAGTGTCCAGCATCTAGAGACTCATCTTTCTCCTCACCTCATGTGTATCTGTCTTGTTTATGTTCCTCCTCTGGGAGAAACCACGCTGGCCTACAATTCAACTGGTGATTTGAGGGAAATGAATGAGGGGATTTAAAATGAGGGAAGGGCTATGGAGGATAGGGAAGAATGGGGGGTTAAGTGAAAGGCAGAGTGGGAGCTGAGCTGTTTCCATCTACTAATCCTAAATTGCAGCCACTGGAAGACAGCGATCTCCTCCTCACATGTGTTCGCCATTAATCCAGTGGCGGTGAGAGAAGGCCTGTTTTCACCAGAAGAGAAAGATGAGATGGGAGAGAAAGTGCCCCCAACCCTCATATTATTCACACCGTATTTATGTTCATCACGTGTGTCCGTGTGCGTGTGTGTGTGTTCATGAATATGATTCTCTTACTATTCCTGATAGGAACAAGAGCATCTGTATTTCCATGCACAACAAATCACTGATTTTAAAACACTGAATGAATGATGTTCAACTAAAATATGGAGGCAGAGTAAAGGCGTTCTTCGGCGAGGAGAAAAACTGAAGTAATGTGATTACAGATGAAGCAAAGTTCGCTGAGGACAAACCATAATGGAGTTCAGTTTTCTGCTGTTGAGAGAAACAAACTTGAGTGTATTATTGGTAAATAGAGGTGGTTGAGTCATTCTCTTTTCTTTCCAACCACGATTGGAGATTAGATATTCCATTTCATGTCCACAAATATGCTCTGTTTTTAATTAAAGGGCCATCCATTTGTTGCTTAGGTCAGCAAAAGCTTTGACACATTGGATCCATTTAGCGCATAATAAACGTGACCTTGTCCTGCCCCTTTTTCTCCATTTTCTTCTCTCAGTCTCACCAAAAAGGACATAAAAGTGAGGATTTATGCTTTTCTTTGTAACTTTCTAAGATTATTCTCTCCCCAGACTTTGTCTGTTCTCCTCTCTTTTCATGCTGTTGTGTGTTGCCATATCCAGCCATATGACTTGTGCTGTGAGCAGGAGAAAGTGCAGGGGACCCAGGACGTGTTGACATGCAGCTCCTCCTTGTGATGTATGGGATGGATATAGAACAGGGGGAGAGGGATGCGAGCTTCGTTCTTATGCTCGGGAGGTACATAAAACATATTACAGAAGGGCCGTAAAAAGAGCCAACATTAGTGTCCAAATTTAAAACACGTCCCAGGTCTCAGCTGTCATTTGCGAGGGGAATAATAGAACAACAGAGAAGAGGAAACTGGCAGACAGTCGTTCCCAACATGCAGACTTTGTTAGTCTGAGACATTGTGTTCAGAGTTTTGGTGGAGTCTTTTTACATTGAATTTAACAGGTACCATACAAAAACAAAGAGAGGAGTCAATATGATTACACTGTTGCATTAATTTTAGTCATTTTCAAGAGTCAACAAAGAGCATCTTTATCCACTTAGTGCTTGTCTTTAGTCATGCTGAAGGTCCTCAGGTAAATCTTGTGGATTTTGTGATATCTTAAGACTGCTGCTGCAGAGTGTTTCTGAAAATCAATGGACCTGTCAGTGATTTCCCTTGAACTACTATAATTCTATGATTTTTAAAACATGGTTTTATTAGTATGACAGTATTTTGACTGTAGGAAGTTGTTGCTGGAATGACTCATACGGTCAAGTTTGATCATTTTGATGCTTTTAAAAAACACAATCATTGTCCCTGTTCATCGTACCGCTGAGGGCCGCTTTGAATGTAAACATTTAACACTCTCAGCTGTAATCCTCCCTACATGTCTGGTTTATTTTGTGTGAACTGGTCCTTAAAAAAATGAATGAAAGCTTGTTACATGCTGGCATGATATGAATGCGGCAGTGCTCTCCGTTTCTTGTGTATTTAAAGTGTCATTTTGAGTTTGCTGTATGTACATACATATTTAGATTGTGTCCATGTCAATAAGGATGTGTGTTAAAAGAAAACTTTGGCTTTGCCACAATCATTAACATTAATGATCCTTAATGATGTAGAGGACATTATACATCTGTATTTTTACACACTACAAATTCAACACCTAAAGTGCGGTGCCTTCCTGATCATCAAACCCCACATTCAGCCTCTCTGCAGCCCAATGAAAGAGCCGTATAGACACTGAATATCCAGCAGGGCAGGTAGCTTCAGGTAGCAATCCAAATATACAGAGGTATTCTCAAACAACGCAGGCCTGCCAAATACAACACCCCACTATTTATTTATGTATTTATCTGGATTTCCTGTATACTTGTTGAGATGTTGGGTGCTGTGGGCCATGCTATCTAAGGCCCGTTTGACATGGGTTTGCTAGCCCTGGCCAGGCTACACGGTGTTGCGTTAAGGCTGGGTTATTTATCCTGGGGACTCATAATGATGCTGCTGTCCCTGGTCCCTGAGACGGCTCTGTTCTCTCAGTCCCATTCAGTCCTTCATACGGCGCTGGCCCTGGCCCCCACTGCTGCTCCCACCAGATATCCTGCTCTGGATCCATGAATGCATAGATTTACGTGTATGTTAGTGATCTCAGTAACACTAAATATTTGTAGTGCTTTCCTTGTACATGGTAGCTGGTTGGAAGAATTAGTTTGATATGTTGTTAATAGGTCATGTGTTATCATTCAGAAACAATTACGGTGATATCGGTGTTGTGAGGGCCAATACCGTTATGTTGCTATCATGTCATATTGCCAATAATTAACCCAATTAATGCTAATCTATACATTGCACTTACCACAAAAGAGACACAAAACACACATGAGGTGCTGGACTTGCTTTATCAGTGTTGACATTAACAACGTGGTGTAAAGGGTTCTTGCGTATCATATCATCCAGCTGATTTCTTCTGTCACAGAAAACCAGCATTATTATTCTGAGATAGCTTCACAAATGAGATCTGACTTATAATAACAGGAAAAACTGAGTATATGGACCATATACTGTCTGCCCTGGGCTTCTGAATTACAGTCATGAATTTGTACTAGAAGTTGTCTTGAGAAGCACAGACTTTCGCTAACAGTTTAAGAATATGGTAGACTGGTCAAAAGCTAACAGTAAACTAGCAAAGTGAGAAAAGAAGCTAAAAAGTGAAGGACTGAGTGTTCTGATTATAGGAACTGAGCTGGAGGAGGAGCATTAACTGTATATATGGTTTGACATTAATATCAAGGGACAAATCCATCAGTTTCAAACTGATATATTCCTTAAGGTAGCGCAGTCATATTCGCTGTAGCCTCACTGCAGAGTTAAGCTCAGGTATTCTTGTGATCAGCCGTTGAATAAACAGCAGTGACCTCTAAGCAACAAAATCAGACCCTGAGAAAAACAAGGGGAGTCAAATCTTTTGGGACCTCTTAATGAACAATAGCTCTTTGTCGCAGCAGGAATACAAAGTTGTCAAACGTGTGTATAACTAACTCATTAATAATTGCCTCCTTCAGTGCCAGTGAGTCTTTCAGTAAGCCAGCATGCATAATGTCACGGCCCTGGGACTGGGACACCTGATTGTACTGCAGCCGTTACTAATGTTACTAGACCTCTGTGAGCTTTCCTTCAACAACCAGTCCAAACGCTCACTCTCAGAAAAGACAGAGATGACAGAGCTGCAGCGACTGTCACTGGAATGAGTGGATTTGAATGTTAAATTAAATACATCATTTGTTTGTTACAAACTTTTTATCCTTCTCTTTGTCATAAAATCTCTGTTTTGCCAGTGGGTTTTGGCTGAGTTTTTGCAGCGATGTTTGGAATTACTTTTTCTCCTAAAATCAATAGTGAAGTTGAAATTTTTATTCTTTACACATGTGAGAACCTTTTTACTTCTGTTTGCTCCAAGTATCGATCGTCATGATCCCTCTTGGCTTCAATCTAAACCTTAATTTGCTCAGTTTGATTCAATGCGTGTGTTCATTGGGATGTGAGTGAGTGTGTTTCTCAAAAATGAAGATCTTGTCAGCTTGGTGGTCTGTATGTGACATTAGCATTTTCCGCAGATTTACAGTGGGACACTCCAAGGCCAGGGTCAGCGAAGGGTCTCCTTCCCATGAGCCGGTGTGTACAGTTTGTGTGCATGCTTTTAATTACAGAATTATATGGAGGAAACGCACAGTTTCCCTAATTACTTGCAGAGGGCTGTAATATATTCTATACAAAGTTCAATGCTGTCATTCATTGGGACTCCTCAGCAAATAAACTCGACTATCATTCTGATACCACTAATGAGAAGAGAGAAAATGATGTGTGTTCGTTTCTGACACGTGAATGTGGACAGTGATGATATGTTCCCACCAGTATGAGCTGAGCAGCATTCAGATCTGAGCCGCACATGTTTCTGTACGCAGCGGCTGTTGTCAGCTGTCACACGGTAACATGGCGGAGGCTTGTGGTATGGTACTTGTTATGTGGATATTCTGAACATATTTCCTTGTTGACCCTGTGGATCACGTCAGCCGGGCCTGTCATTGGGGACCCATGTTGCGCCTTGTTGGACCTCTGCCTTGAATATTTCAACCAAACTCCGGCTGATCGATGGCGGCAGAAACAGACCTCATTTTGGCACATGCTCTCAGTGGACTGTTTGACAGATGGTCCTATGGTAAATGTCTATTGATTCACTCCACATTAATGACTAAATGATTTGCCATTATTCCAATGATGTTGTAAGATGATGGGCCTGCTCACCAAAGCGTGCTTTTAAACATAATTAAAAGAACACCTTGGGGAGGCTGTTTCGACGGATTCTGGCTCCTGCCAGCTGTATTTTACGACAACAAACAAACCCCCTGGAAGGTTTTTAACCTTCGCCAAAGCCAAAATAGGCAGGAGAATTAAATGCACAAGGCAGCAGTGTACTACCAAACACTCCTCCCTCTTCAATTTGAACCCAGAATATTTTCTAACCAGAGGTTACTTTCAGGTGTATAAGCAAGAAGAATGAAAAAAAATCTAAATAAACACTTTGACACAAACGTGACTCTGCTGTGGCCGACATGACTCTGGGAATGGGAAGTATGAGGAATGTAAACAGAGTTATTTTCCTCTATGAATAATTGTTGTTCAGCTCGGTCCGCATGCTGTCTCAATATGTGCATATGGTTCAGCATAAAGTGCTCCTGCCAACATTCATCTCATACCAACCTGACTGCTCTGCCTCTCACTGTAAAACACTCAGATTTGCTCTCAAACTTCTCCCATCAGATTAGAAGTATTTAGGTATGAAAATTCCTGTCAAGGTAATTGAATTAAGGCAATCTAACTCACTAAACCTCAGGAACTGTATGACATCCAGAATTGATTTTACAGCCACAGAAATGGGAGAATTAAAGCTTCATGCCTGCTTCCTCTATTGATCATTATTCAGAAAACCTAAACAGCTCCTGAATGCTTTTTCAGTTTGAGACTTGAGGAGCTTCAGTACTTAGCGGGCAGGATGAATGAATGTTTTTTTTTTTTACCAACAAGAAGATGATGGGACCAAAATTTTAAGAGGTGAATTGATGGACATTAAGTATCCTTGGTATTTCCCCCACTTTAAACCTTACCTGTCAAAATACAAATAACACATTCCTCCAACTGGATAAGTAAGTTTAGGGGCGCACTGTTTAACATGGTCACTCACCTACCGCAAAGCAGTTTACTAACTTTTTCCAAACAAAATCTTAGATACATGATCATAACACTAGACAGGCTTTAGATCTTCACCCCCCTCTTTATCACACTAGTCAAGGTCAGTTTTCCCTGAAATACAGAGGTTCTACTCTCTATGATAAACAGTCAAAGGGTTTAAATCTCTCATCCTTAAATGTATACAAAAACAGGTTGAAGGATTTACTGATTAACCACTAATTGTTTCAATGTCTTTTAAGGTATTTCTCAGTTACCAGAATCTATTTTTACAAGCTAACTATATATATATATATTTTTTTAATTTTCCTACTATTAATGTATGCTCTTAAAATTGTATGGTCTACATAGGTAGAGGCCTCACACAAGCCCTGTGTGCTTCTTTGCCTCTCCCTGGCACTTTATTTTCTATGTTTTTCTCAGTTGTTACAATTGTATTGTCTTTTTAACAAATGTGCTAAATCAAATCAAATCAAATCAAACTGTATAACTATAACTGTAACTATAAAATTGAAGCTGCAGGGTCACCTTATTTCAATGCTTGAAGTTTGCTGTGTGAAGGTCTCTGTCTATCTTAGTTTGGCATAATGTGAGAGAGCATATTAAATCAGATGTGTCATAGTTTTGATCAACTCTAAATCATCTCAGATGCAGTTCAGAGTGTAGAACATGGGCTGTCTATCTTACAGCAGTAGGTGTAGTTAAGGACTGTTGTAATAGTACAGTGCACACTTTTGTTTAAAAAAGAAGAAAAAAAAACCTACATCATGTCTGAAGAAAAGGTGTTTTAGTTTTACTTGACTTGGATCTAGGAAAATCCTTCAATATTACCATCTTTTTTTTCTGTTTGCAGAGCACTTTGCATTCCTTCAGAGATCAGCAGGGACATCTTGGCAGCATTGGATTCTTGGGAGAGCTTAGGCTAAATTATTCCACAAATGTAACACATGAGTCAAAGTGTTAAGAGAGTGAAATTTTGCAGATTTAGACACTTGGATCCGCTCTTGGTACAGATTTCTCATCAGCCAAATATGAGTTTGAAGAGGGGAGACTTGAGTAAGAAGATAACAACAAAAACATAATTACTTTTTAGCCTAAAAATAGTCTTCAGGTGAAATAGCTGCCAAAATTTGCACTGTTTGATTTGATTTCAATAGATGGATGACATTTATTCTTTATTGGCTCTGATATAGCTACAGGGTCTGACAACCAAATGCAAACAGAGGAAGACTAAACAAACATTTTCCCCTTGTTTCTTTTTTTAAAGTTTTTGTTCGTGAACCAGTTGCTATGCGCTGAAAAAAGTAGGAGCCCCGAATATGTCCCCGTCCTCTTAATTTCAATATTTACCTTTTTTTGCATTAGACTCGCTTTCAGCAGTGTGGTGTAACTGCTTCTGCACTTCTGTCTGAAGAATCAGCATAGGTCAATAATTCTAACTGTTATTTATCATAATTACTACTGTAATAGTTTGCACGTGGTGACATTTAACAGTCATTTGCACAAATAAAAGAGTTATCAAAACATTCAGCAATTTCCTGGGGTACTCCAGAATGCCAAAATTGGATCCTTGTAAAATGGATGTTATATATTTGTCATGGTATTGAAATAGAAACACTATAATTGCATGTTTTATACAATTAAATGATTGATGATGTATGTGCACTGTGTGTACGGTTAGATAAATAGAATCATTTTGACCCTGTATGCATGTATAACTCTCTCAACCCAACTTACAATTAATGATTGGTCACAGTGTGGTGTGTTTATTTTCCCTGGGTGGTACCTTCTTGTAGTGATCAGTGTTTTCACACAGCCTCTGTGGGAGCACTACTAAGCTGTGAAAACACCACAGCCACATCACAGCAGTACATCTTATGAATAGCTCACATTTTGAAATGAAATAGGACTGCTGCCAGTCTATGTTCTTAAATCTTGTTATCTTTCATAAGGACTCACTTTTATAGGTGCTCTATTTCCCAGGCACAAAAATATTTCCAGAGACTTGTAAAGTAAAATTAAACAAAAAAAAAAACGATTCCAGTGTGTGTGGTATCGGATATCTTTATGTTTACAGCAGAATTTTTTTTTTTTTTATGTATCATGTAATTAAAAGAAGTTTGTGTTAGCAAAAAAAAAAAAACTCATATTGGTGGTAAATTATTTTTTTAAATGCATCAGGATACATGCAAAGTTTGCTATCACTCGTGTGAGCAGAGAGAAAGCCTGAGTGAGAGAGCAGGCATGATAGGACGCCAGCTCTGTGATCAAGTGTTTATATAGACATGACTTACACACATTCGCTGCAATAACTTTCCTCCAGTTCTCAGTATATTTTCCCTCCTTTGTGTGCTAAGACCAAACCTGGCGCTGACTTTTGGAGCACAATATGTTTCATGTGTTCACATATGGCGGAACAGTAGCTTGTTTGTGTTGCTGAATAATCCTTAATCAACAATCCAAACCCAGGCATAGTCTCTCATTATCCCAGGGAGCATGCCAGCTTGGCACACAGTGAACTCTGCCTGTCTGTTTTAAACAGAAAGCTACTGAAACCGCTCGGCAGAGGCCCTGACGGCAGCACAGGCAATCTACACACACACACACATACATAGAAATGCAGACAAACACAGGGACAAATTTGCATGAGTGGGATGCACATGGGTGCAGAGGAATAAACAGCACAGGCCAGAACATGCACATGTTGCTACTGCCAAGGCAAGTAAAAGTCATAAATACAAAACAAATAAAGCATGTACACATGCACTGGCAGACATGCGCTCTCACACGTGCACTGCATGCATCATTTAAATCTAATAAAAGATTATTGTGGCAGAGATGCATGATGTACAGACTGTTCGCTAAAGACTGCGAGAGAGTTGTGCAGAGAGAGAGAGAGAGGCATCTTTCTTTTATTAGGCTGTACAGTAAGAGCAGCTCAGGCCCTCGGGGCATTAATTACACTGAGAGGAACAGGGACAGTAGGCACAACACATGGCATTGAGTAACACTCAGCTGCAGTGCCTTATTATCAGGACTCCCCTCTTCAGACCTTTCATCACTTCCCATAATGCAATAGGGAATCCTGAGTTTGGGTAACCACTAACCAACACAAACATACTTGTCTGTGTTTTGCGATGAGAGCTTTATCTCTGAGATATTTCTCATGACTCTCCAGGACTTGCCTGCTTCACACACACATGCACACAGCTAAATATAACTGAGTGACATGCTTCACAGCTCTGACTTCCCGCCAGCTCAGCGGAGGAGCTGTCCATTACAGTGACGGACTTGACTTTTTGAAAATATTATTTAATATCAGGCCAGAGAGGTTAGAAGGAGACAGATGCTGTCATGGAGTGATGGATGAGCCTCTTTTTTAAAGGCCATGAGGGAAATAATAGACAGCCCAGCGACCCCTGAAAGCGGCAAGCTTAGCCAGGACCATCTTTCCTCCCCTTCTCATCTCCAGAACTGTCAGGCTGAAAAATGTCAGTAATTAGAAAGTATGGTAATGTAAAGGTACTTTCACGTTTGATCTCCTGTGCGCTGGAGTAGCTGTGGCAGTTAAGGTGGTCGTAGAGGGCAGCAAGCAGCAGGAGGGGAGGTTAGACCCAGGACAAATGGAGCCAGGGCCCGGTCCAAAAGAGAGATGGATGGACTACTTTAGTTATTTAAACTGCGTGACCCCTTTCACAGGAAGATTAGGTAAGCTGTTAGCCTTTGTTTACATTCCTCCTATTCAAAGCTAGCCTCTTTTCCAGTATTGTGAAAGTGAGAATGCTCTCAGTGTTTTCTCTCGTTGAAACTGGTATAGAGACGACTGATGAAAACAAATGAAAGAGCTTTGGTGCTGGTGTTATTTTTATTATGCTCATGTATCTGTCCTGTTTCACGCAGAGGAAGAAGCAACAGTTACACATGATGTCATGTTTCTGTTTTTGTGCGTGCTCTTGAACTGAACTCTTGGCTCTTTAATTCAGTTGTCCATAAACAACATTTACATGTTTAAAAGCACTCAGACAGATATGAACATTTGCTCCGTGCTTCTTTTTTTTATTTACATAAAACTAAACATGAGATCATGCTTTTGTGGAAGATGAAAACCATTCATGCACAAACACATAACAATCATACGCAGCCCGCTCTATTAAAGACCAGCAGCTGACTTTCCAGTAGAGGCAGACATGGTGAAGGTCCAGCAGAATAGTAGACCATAGAGACTCAGAGGCAGCTTTTACTTTGCTTTAAATGGCTTATTTGATTAAAGAATTTTGACTTAGTGCTTCGTCTGACGCCAGACCTGGGACTTTGTAATGGAGAATGAGTCAGAGCTGGAGAGGGAAGAAGAAGAAAGAGATGTAGAGACACAGAGAGAGGCAGACTGGGGGCGTCTCAGTCAACACAAACATCATCAGACGTGCAAACCATAACCTAACCATATAGTTCTGCTTTTTATTTTCCAGTGGAGTCTAGGCTGCAATTTGCTGCAGTTCATTTTCATATAAAAACGGGTGATTGTGCATGTGTGCAAATGTGTCTGGTCTGGGTTGGTATTCTCAACACAAACACAATGACAGAAAAACCGTTGACCGACCGTGCAGATCTGCTTCGTATTTATCCATTACCCATGGTTTTAGCTCTGGCCCGCAGTTTGAATAAGTTAATTTCGATAAATGGCCTCGCTGATTGTGTAGAAAGCAGAAGGGCGGTGAGGAGCAACTAAGACGAATGTGAGGATGAGAGAAGTAGAGGAAACTTTTAAGAAATCAGCAAAACTCATGCTATTAAAAAGTGACATCAGTGTGGTAAAAGCATAACTGACTGGTTTTGAAAACATCTATCCTGGATCAGTGGCTGCTTCTGCCGTGGTTATTAAGGAGAGACAAATAGCAGAGCCACGCTGTCCACAGGCTGATGGAGAAAAGCAGCAATATAGAGCCTCTGTAGGGCCCAATGTTTATTTTCACTGCTTGAAAATTGCTCCACAGTGGAAACTGTGCTGCAAAAACACTCTATGCTAGCTTTGGAGTGTGGACTGAGCCGGTAAAGCTTTAGAATAACCACAGCATGCAGATCCTTGTCTGTAAAGATAATCATTACTGGATCTACATTATCTCTGCCTGTGAGTGTGTGAGAGCGAGGTGGAGGAGGTTAAGATTTACCATGTGCCTTCTTGGCAGGGATGTGTCTGGGGCGATGTTAATGGTCAGGGTTGTGTCTGTTTGTGGCTGCAGAGTGTGTTTTAACTGCTGTGTGATTCCTCGATCTAAACGCTGGCAGATCTGATTTAGTGGGCTCATAAAGCCAGACTTTTCTCACATAGCTGAAGGTTCTCAGATCTTTACATGAAAACCTCTTGAGTCTGGGTGCCGGGCTGTATACCAGTCTGGGAAAGCAACCCCCTGCAGCCATTAAGGCGTATCTTATTATATAAGAATAGTTCCGTTTCTCATAAAAAAAAGCCGTGTATGTAACGACTCTGATATTTCAATATTCAGATCTCTCCTCTGGGGAAGCAGAAAGAAAACAAAGTTTTGGATGGATGCTACGCTGTCTTGTGCCTTGCCAGTTGCCCCGACCACTGGCATGTCTGTCTCTGTCCCTCTGCCCAGAACAGCCATGTTAGTTTGTTCATCTCTCCAAACGAACAGTCCGCACCACTGACTTGAAGAGAGGTGGGAAGGAGAGGGGGAGAACATAGGGGCGCCTTGTGTCGTGGGTGTGGGGGATTTTTTCCCTTCAGCTCCATTTTCCTCCAGCACCACAGCTGATTGCTACCACATTGATGATGGTTTAGTTAGTGGGAGAGTTGTGTATACTCTAGAGTACGCTGGACAGACTGGCTCTCTTCCCTGTGGCACCAAGCCCCCTGGCACTGAGCGTCGCTCTTCTTCCTCAAACCCATCAACGTCTCATCCATCTCCCATCCTTCTTTCAAGGCTTTATCCACGTCCCCACCAGGGGCTTGGAAATGTGCTCTTTCTTTTTTGTTTTTATTTTCTATTGATCTAGGATTGTGTTTTCAAAAGTCCACAGAGCCTGCGGTTGACACGAAAGGAACGCAACCAATATTCTTTTGGATAAATCCATAAAGGCTCCTTTGTTTCATGTATGAGGGATCCAAATCAACCACTTTTCCTCTCTAAATCCCAAATCTGTCCATACTTTTCCTGCACTCCCTCTGCTTCTTCTCCCCTGTATGATACGAGCTGTATGCTATCACAGCTTTAGCGATAGCTTTGAGTCATTTTCCAGCCTCTCATCCCTCTGTGTTTTGTAGGAGCAGCAAAGTTAAATCCTTGTCTCCTGCAATTTAATCCAGAAATTACATGCTGTAAAATTAAGTGTGTGAGTCCAGCTTTATGATGGAACTAATTTTTAAAGCGTGCAGTAAACCAAACCAGATCCTCCTTTTTTGTGCCTGTGTGGTATAACCATGCAACCTTGTTTGCTCTTTTTTTTCCTCTCACGAAAACCTATTCTTGTGTAAATATTGTAAGAATATTGTAACATTCCCCTGACAGTTTGACACACTTGGAAAAGCCTTGTGAAAGTCCAAACATGGCAGCCTTGGGACAAGACATCTGTATTTACTTTCATATCCATACAACGACTGATAGACAAAGAGTGGTATTAAGATCAGCCTCTTTTCCTCCGCTCTGTAATTGTTCAGGAAAATGTTTTCTGCAAGAGGGACAGAAAAACCTGCCGTTCGGAGGAGTGGCTGTTGTGTTCAGATATATACCACTCGACTTTGTGACATTTATGAGAAGGTTTACTGCAACAACAATCAAGGAGCATTGTTAGCACCCCATTAGCGCTGTTAAAGCACTTGGACCTGTTCTTTTTTGCTCCGTACTTCCAAAGGCAGAGTTTTCCTCCCCTTTCTTACATGAAAAAAACTGTCATTACCTGCCAGTGTGTAGGCGTATTTTTTATATTCATCTCTGCAATGCCAGTTAAATACTCATGAATTAAAAAAAACAAAACAAAACAAGTAAGAGCATGTGTGTTTGATACCATGTGAATATTTTGATGGAGTAAATGTTTTTGTTACAAAGACTGCTCATGTCCAAAGATAGGAGGGCAGTCTGGTAAAAACAGCTTTTCCTCACGGAAATGAAAACACAGGCGAGTATTTATGGGCCACGGTTGAAGAGCAAGATCAGGGTTTCTGGCTTGAGTGGTGCACCCTGCCAGCGACCGCTCTCCCCAAGTCCACACTTCCACCTCACTGTAGACACAGGACACAGTCCACTTATATTAAAAACAATGGCGGTGATGAGTAGAGCGAAGAGAATAGTGGTGAGATCAGTGACTGTAATATATACAGAAAGGTTGCCAGGAATTGATGTAATACAGACTGCTTGTTTGAAGATCGAACCTTAATCTACAGATCTGCAATAAATCTGCCTGATGCCGGGTGATATTTCTTTGACACTAAAGCGCGGTGCTCGTCTTAAAATATATTTTCTCGCGGTTTTGAATGCAAAGTTCTTCTGTATGTTTCTGGGAGTTCGTCCAAGTCCTGCTGAGAAACTGTACCACTGAAGCAGCAATACATTGAAGGTTGTACTTCACAATCGAGGTCGCAGGGATATTTTAGCAGATGCATTTGTTCTCTTAAAACAGTAAAACACAAGATTTATCCTTGTTCCTGGACTCAGGCACTCAGTTATTATTAAAAATGGGGAACTCCGTGCTCTAGTCCTTCAGAGACTTAGAGAAAAAGGAAATTATGATGAAAGAAGGTCCAGGGCTGGCCGCAGTTGAACACTATATTAAAAGGACAAGTCCAGTGGATGTCCCGTAATGGAGCTCTGTGAGAGGGGGTATTTCTTGCAGGCCTACAGACTGTTTGTAGTGAGTGATGTGGACGGCTTCAGGGACCGTGACGGCTTCCCTTCACTGTCATATCTTAAGACCACTAAAGCCTGCACTTATCTCGCTGTTTTCCAACCACTCAACAGGCTGGACTTTCTGCCAGCTTAAACCGCGCTATACTTCAATTTACAGCCCTCATTAAGACACAGAGGCTTTACTCCCACATTAATATTTCTAAAACCCCCTCTGGTGCTGCAGCTTTTCTTGTTTTCCCACTCAGCTCCCGCCATAAAAGTGCAATTACCTTTTTTCTAGTCAATCAAAGTGTAGACCATATTTCGTCATGAATGATTTATGGTTCAGTCAATAAAAGAGAAAACAACTCGTTCTGACCAAACAGTAGAGCCTTTAAGTCTTTTATTTTCATACAGCTACTTGTCCTGAAAATCAAGATACCCAATTTTAGTCGTGTAGAAACGAGAAATCACTTGAATTTGAGAGTGTTGTATTTCATTATTATGTGCCTGATAATGTCAAATTGAACTACAATATGAAAGCACTTACTGTAGTGTAATATAGTGTAATTACAATAATGGAAAACTTCAAAATAAAACAACCCTATTATTTAAAATAAGGAAAAACAAACAAGGACTGAGCAGCACTTAACTTCATAAACTTAACTGAGAACTCAATGCTACCTCTATGTGGAATATTGACAGTATATAAGATTTTTTCTACAAATCTAAATTAACTTTTTATAATCATCTGTGCACTGTGCGCTTGATGAGTCCATTCAGTTCCATCAATTCCAGTTTATTGCAAGTACACTTATCCTTACACAATAAACTCCCCCTTTAACAGGAAATACTCAATACAGTTAAATAAAAGTCTATAATACATGTTACCTGTACTTTGGAGTCATTTGCAACATGTGTTTGTCATGCTTTTATTTTGATGTCTTTTTTGTCTTTTGTTAAGGTTGCTTTATTTCCCACATGGTCAGACTGAGCTTTTATTTTGAAGTATGCTACTTCTGGAAGATTTAATTTACTGAACTGAATGAAAACAGTTAAAAGAGCGGTTACAAAGTTTAAATGCTTACCTTATAAGTATACTGGGGAAGCGTATGCTCCAACTTTGCTTTTGGATTCATAATTAATCTTAGTTTTCAAAGTGCCTTTCTCTCAGTTGGCTGCCACAGCTAGTTCGCTAGCACTCTGTTACTTCTTCTTCTGTCCTCTGTTTGTCTTCTATGAACTCAGGATGTAACCAAATCCTCTGCTTATTTCAAGCACAATCTCAATATTTTATTTCTTAAAGAGATGGTTATTATCATGCTGGTATATTACAGCCAGCCATATGCTGTAAGTTATCATCTTCTTCTGAAGTGATAAGAAAAGACATCAGTGATTAATTTGGGCTCTGAGGCTTCTTTCCAAGCCGAGTTACTGCGTTCCTCTGTCTCAAATTTACAGCGGAATGAAGAGGCTTTATCTCTGCTTTTGTTTGAGCCCATTTGGCTTCACTAAAAGACCGTTGTGCTTTACAGATGTTTCTCTGCATTAGTGAACATATAAAATAAAGTTATGAGTGATATAGGGATGAAGACAGAGTAGTCCTGCTGTGTTTAAGAGTGTGTTTGTGCTTTTGCATGTACACACGTGGTTCGATGGATGTGAGTGTACGTGGATGTAAGTGAATATGTGTTCAGCCTGTGCGAGGACATGATGGATGACTCGTGTGCTGCAGTGAAAGTCTTTTAAATCACATCAAAATCAAGAACGTATGACTTCATCAGACCTGCAAGGCTCAATGTGAGCTTAATGAAATATGGCAAACTCCTCTCACTGGCCTCAGATCATGCATTTTATCTCACAATAAGGACTTTGCTGGACCGTGTCGGTGCTCTTAACTGCCATTGTGGTGAGTGAGTGGACCCGGGATGAGCCTCTCTAAGTGAACTCATTGTGGTGCCATTAAGAGAGTCTGGTCATGCTTTATCTGCATGCAGAGCTCTGTAGAGATCTCAGTGTAGTGTCAGAGCTGTCTGCACTGACAGATGGCTCCTCACTAGGACTGTGATGCAGATGCAGTAAACAGGTTTTATAATAGTCTGGATATTAGGGTCTTGGAAACGCTGCAGTTTAGTAGTGAGATTATTTTCAATAGGAGTTGAAGCTGTGGTTAAATCTTTCTGGGTTAAGTCTTCTAGTTTTGCACTTTGAAGAAAACACCTGCTTGTTGTTCAGGGCTTTTAAGTTCAAATTTTGTTTGTCCTGACTCATGTTGAGTAGAATTGATTTCCTAAAGGATCATTTTGATGAATCATTGAAACATTTCCTCCATGCACCTGTCATTTACCCAGAAGGGCCAATTTCTTTCCGATTGAGCCGAATTGGATCAGAATTTTCTGATCAATATGTTTACATGTTGCATTTTTATTCTGATCGGGCATTTATTCAGATTATTTGTGCCCATGTAAACGCAGCTACTCATGGTGCTGTGGTGTGGAGCCCACAGACAGACCAAAGAGTGAGTGCTGAAAATCTACGCTGAAGGAGGCTGCCTCTAGCTGAGCAGAAAGGGCTCAAAGGTGGTTGCGATTACAGGAATTTCAGGGAGAGAAGAGGACTTTTTTATAACTGTGTGACCAAAAGTTGCAGCAGTATGCTGTAATAATATTTTTGCACAGCTCTGTAATCATAGCTAACCACTCTTCATAAGATTGCATTAAGGGCTTTCTTGGCAGTCTGGATCCTTTTTGTCTGTTGATTTTGGAGTTGCTTAACTTATTCTGATTAAATACTTTAGGTGAATGACATGTCAGGTTATTGATAAGAATCTGTTCCAGTGTCTTAATCCTTATGTAGGACACTTTGTGTGTCAGCCTGTCCACTAATGTGCTAATTGTGTGCATTCATGTGCACTTAGCTCTGTTGGTATGCATGCGCATGTGTGTCTGTATGCTCTCTCAGGTGTCTTTTAATGCGTTAATGGTTCTTTTACCCCTATCAGGGAGGGAGTGATGAGCTCAATCAGGTGTGCGTAACACCATCCTCCCACCTGCTCTGAACCTGCTGGGACAGGGGCTGCTGGAACGCAGAGGAAGCCGGTGAAACCTTGAGGGTCCTCATTGAATATTCAGGTCTGCTTGAACAGCCCGAGGTGAGCAGAGAGAACTGTTTGATCCACAAAGCTGTCACTGCTGACCCGGAGTCAAACTGCTTTTGTAAGAGAAAGTATATAACTGTGCGAGAATTGGGTGTCTCTCTCCCAGAGCATGCATTTTTATTTCTGTCAGGTTTTCTATCCTGCAGGTTAAAGCTCCTATTAAGAGTTTTCGAGATCTATGAAACTGACTTAACTGACTACACCTTTTTATGATCGTCAAAAAGCAAACAAGACCATGAGGGGCAAGATTGTAAATCTGTAAACCCTAATTTTTAAGGCCTGAAAGTGGTGTGAGGGGAGGGAGGTGTCAGCCTTTGTTTTGTGTCCACATAAAGGATTAGCAACAAATGATACATTAAGATGTCAGAATCTACTAGGATGAGATTTCATTTTTAAAAGACACTTTTTAAACACGTAGAGGACAAGAGAAGCAAAGACTGCTTTGTCCATATGGGGCGCCATAATTAACACAAACCAGTAGTTCCTCATAGGGGCTTAAAGTATTATTATTAATAAAGACAATAATGATAATATTACCAATTACCCTATTTCTGTCACACCTAAAAAAATGAGGATTTTTTAAGTGTTTTGACAGTTTGCATAAATAAAATCAAAGCAAAAAGGAAACAGACAGAAAAAAAAACCTCAGCACAAAAAGAAACCCAGAATAAACCCAAACAAACAACTTTAGGACCTAGAAGACACATTAAGAAACCAAGAGCATTAAATGAAGCTAAGAAAAACATTATAAAAACCTAGAATTACCTTAAATTAACCCAGACAACACAGGAACCCAACCACAGAAATAGAGACCTTTTACGCAGCTTCGATGGTACAGTGCTCGTAAAATGTGTTTGACTTCACGAGCCATTCTTTCCAAGAAATGCACATCATTATCACATTTAGTTTTATATCTTTGATTCTGTCCTTAAGTTTACATTAACTTGAATGCATCATGCATGCTCATATAGCGGAAAGCTTAGAGAGGCCTTCATGATATTCCTAGACAGACTCAGGAAAGACGTCTGATGGCAGAAATGTCTCACCTTGCTGTTGAATGTTCATAGATGTATCATGCATGTGTGTCTCTGAATAGTCTCTGTGTATTAGAAAGTGTGTGTGTGTGTGTGTGTGTGTGAGAGAGAGAGAGAGAGAGAGGAGAAGCTGATGGAGAATGGTCTGTAGATAATAAATGGCATCTGCTGTCTAAGGCCTCATCACTCCTCTTAAATCCAAGAGTTGTAGATAATACTTGATGCATGTGTTTTTGCATATCACTTTACGTCTGTGTATGTGGGCTTAGGTGCTGCAGTACAGGGATTTGTGTCTCCCCAGAGGTCTTTCAGGGACATTGTTGGCTTATTGAAAGAAATCAAAATGGAGATCGAGTCAAATCAAAGAGTTGGAAGAAAACAAGCTAATAAAAGACAGCAAAGTCGAATCACTGAGACAAAGTTACGCCCAGAGCCACAGACGGACTTTCTGTCACTGTCTCCATCTTCGTTAAGATGAGACTGTACGAGCCTCTAACCAGCGCAGGTTCCACAATGAGGACTCTGTATGTGTCCATAGGGTGTGAAAACATTCCTGTTATCACTGTAGAAAACTCCCCCAGCTGTCATCAGATGGGGGGAAATATTATGAGTACGTCTGCCGGCGAGTGTGTGTTACTCTGGGACAATCCCCGCCATGTTTATTTTCTGAAACAGTAGACATTCAGCTTCCACATCACACAGACCAGGATCCCTCAGCCGCAGCGCTCGGGCTCACTACTGTTTCCGCATGTGGATGAGTTTGGCGTAAGTCAAGTGTGTGTGTGTGAGAGAAAAAAGCCAAGGTTTTGTTTTCACTGGGGAGTGAATGAAGCAGAGGGGGGATGACTCTCAGGATTAGCCGGGGATCAGTATAGGATGAATAAAATTACAACAACATGGAAAAGTTAATGTTAAAACCACAACATTGACAGATTGCTGTTGTTTGTTTAGTCTAAGGCTGCCGAGGAATCAGTCACTGTATATACTGCATGGCCTGGCCGTACAGAGTACATTCATAGAGTAACCATACAGACTGTAGTTTGCTGATGGTGTTTTTTATGTCTCCTTGCTTTGTTTAATTGACTGACTGTTAATTTCTGGCTCCACTAAGAAAATGTGTAATGTTGGACGAGTTAATATCAACACACAAAAAAAACATATTTTATCAGTTAAGATTCAGGGAAAGTGATCTGTCACACTTTGGATTCAACTTTAAAGTTTTTCATTTGTTGTCATGGAACGTTTCTTTGCCGGACTCAATCAGCAGATCAAAGAGTCTGCAGTTGGAGTCGGTCCAGCTGCAGTATTTTAGAGATTAATGGCAGACAGAAGGAAAGTGGTTGTGGAAATGCTCTGTAATTGTTTAATGATGATTTTTAGGGGGGAAAAAGAGAGAAGATAGTGGAAAATCAAATGTCAAAAACATAGGCCTGTCTTGGTTTCTGTCCCTGCTTTGTTGATATTGGGCTTTGTGGTGAAGGATGGCGTCAGCACCAGGCAGCACTGCTGCTCTCTGGCCGCGGCACTCGGGTGATCTATCAGGTCCCATCAAAACAAAACGCCACTGCTGACTTCTCCTGCGCACACATGAATGCATTGGGTCACTTTCAGGAGTGAGACGCACACACACACAGGGACATTCACATAAAAACAGAGAGAAGAAGGTAAACGGAGAGAACTCTCCACCCCGGATTCTCAGGTTACAGCAAATTTTTCCAAAGCAGAATTTTCATCTTGGATTTTCCTCTCTATGGCGTTTTAGCTATTTGCTGTTGTGATGATTTTTCCATCAGGCCCCAGAGTCACTGTCGGTCAGAAGACTTTTTTTAACCATGGATGCTCTCAACAAAAGAGTTTTTTAACAGCTCCTCAGTGTTTGATAAAAGTCCAACCTGAGGGATAAATACTGTCACAACAGAATTCCTCTCCCACTTCTGACACTCGACCCACTTTAGTGGGAATGAAATGTTTATTGGTTTCAGAAAATGAGTACGTTTTCTGTAGGGTGCTTTCTGCAGAGAGGTAACTAATCAACCTTTGTAAAGTCTGATCAAACAAACTGGAACAAAATGACTCAAATTATGACCTCTAAGTGTAAAGGCATTTGAAAATATCTTTCTAACAGGCACAATCCAGTCAAAGAGAAATCATGTTAAACTATCTCAGGAGAATCTGAATCTGTTTTTATTTTAATCTGTTTCTGAATAGATATAGAATAATCTGAATAAATTCCAATATTTTGCCAAATGCATTAAAAAAAACACAGTGTGACATCAGTGTTATATATAAGGCATCAGCCAAGCTGCTCTCTCACAATCATCAGCCAGTGAAACACTGAAATCAGTCGGCCTCCTGTCTTTTTTGCTCATTGAATTATGAAATAACTGAAACACAAATTGCCATTAAAATTGGATTAAGTGATTTCTCTAAAGGGGAATAGTTTTCTCAGACAGACTTGAAACAAAGTCTTCATAACCAAACAGAAAGTGTGTCATAGGCGTGTTGATCCTCCACCTTTACGGGCTGAGCTGACAGGCTTGCTGGGGGTTGCAGATGGATGGTGGTCAGCTGAAGCTTCTGGGTAGATGACAGCGGCTCCTTCAGCAGGGAGCCGGGAGCAATAATGTTTGCTACTGACACAAAAGTCTCTGAAGGGAGAGGGCACGACCCGGCTGTGTGAGCTGACAGTTTCTATGAGAAGCACCGCAGACCCGTTCATCCCGGAGCATGTCTTAACTGTTCCAGTCAGCGTCTGTGTCTATGTGCTTATGTGTCTGTGTTAGAGTTGTGCATGATATGACTGTGACTTTTTTGTCTCTTTTTTTAGCTTTCACTCTAAGAATTCAACCGATCCGAGCCCCTCCCCTCTCTCATGCACTAGCTTGCTGTCTGGTTCAGGGTGTGAAGCACCTGTAATTTGTCAGGGTGCACTCACCGTAACCCCGACAAACAAACACACATATCACTCCCAAATTACCTCCAGCCATGACTCCTCCGCAGTCAAGTTCACCTGGATTGGAGAAAAAAAATTCCAACTGCTGGCTTTGGCTTGACCTGTACATCACAGGCTGCAAAAGACAACACCCTCCTTTAGACTGAAAGTTTGGCTGCAGCTCCCGTCTGAGTCAAAACAGACACAGGAGGATGTGTGAGATAATTCTTCTCAGGTTAAAGACTCATTATTCCTCATTATTTCTTTCTCCCCTCCGTTAATCATATCATTCATCACCTTTATTTCTTTTTAATGTGACTCCTGCAAAAAGAAATTCTCAATATAAATACATGTAAACATCTTAATATCCCCGGCCGCTTGTAATCGTCCCTTTATAAGCTCTTTCTGCTGCCGTCAAATCACAGTTTTCTATGATTAAAGCCAACGCCTTAACAGTAGCCATGTGTCCTGAGTTGCTCTTTTGTGGCTGCATATGCATATACACTGTACACACACATACACACACACTCTAAACACTCGACACAATCTCAGAGTCATTAGGAAAGAAACAGTAGTTCTTTTAAAAGTTGGCTCCAGAGCCAGCAACGGGACAAATGCCCAGTGTGCAAAAACCCAAATCTGTTAACTGTATGTCCGATTGAATTAACTTATCTGTATGGTATGCCTTTGAGACTAGATGAAGACAATCTAATGAGGTTTCATTTTGACCATTATAAAAACATCATGGAGAAGAAACCCATATTACAGAATACAGTCTAATCAGACCAATGTTGTTTATCTGCGTTAAGAGGCTGTAAAGACATTTACAATGTTTATATCTACTCTAACAAAACTTCTCTAATGTCATCTTTTAAATGTTGTGTTCGTTTCTGACTGAATGGGTTTTCTATGCTGAAAATATAACAGTAAAATACACTTCAACACATATTCAAACCCCACCTGAAAGAGACAGATCACCACATCTGATTGCTGAGAGCAATTATTGACCAGACTTTATTACTTCAGAGTTTGTGTGTTTTTCCCCTGTCCTTGGCACTCACTGCGTCCATATGTTGTGGATTAGATTCCTGGGGGAGGAGATGGGAAGACTTTGAGAGGTTGACACCAGAGGACCATTTACCTGAATTTAACAGCCTCTTTTACATGCCTGCCTTTAGAAATTGTTTGTTTAATCTGTTGTAATTGCCTTTAAATTTTCCTGCCAATTGTGAGGAGAGTCTCTGTGGGACATATAGTCAGAGCTTGGACTGTCTCTGACTGTGACAGCTGCTTTAGAGCTCCCTGGATATTTGGAAGGGTTGAAATATTTAAAGGGCCCAGTTTCTTTTAAAATGTAAAAAAGTTCAACAAATACATGAAAACTGATTAAAAAAGTAACCTGCTATAGGAGAAGGAAAATCTGCGGTCCGAAGGTGTGCAAATGGAAACCTAAACTTGACTTTAAATTTTACTTATAGACAAGTCAATGTGCAGTAAACCTGTTAAACATTTATACTGAATCTATTACTATCAGGAATTCACAATCAAGGATATTCACAATGTATTTTCACTGACAGAATTATTTTTTGAAAATAGCTCCTGGTCGGATTCAAAACAATATATCTATGAATTCTCCAGAAGCATAGAGCTCATTTCAGTATCTAACAGCTCAATCAGATAAAGAAATATTTCAAGGTATTAGCTTTAATTCTTTCTCATCAAAATAAGGATTGTCATTTTCATCAATCTCTTGATTTCAGATATACACATTTTTATTGATCAGATCTAGAAAAAAACATATATATTGGCTGTAAAAATATTCTAAGGAAAAACTCTGATATCTAAAAACCTGTTGATGACACTCATAATTTTAACTCCAGACATTCAAAATGAAGGAAAATGTGAGTGGAAATTTGCAACCATCGTCCTAATCATATAAATCTGAAAACTTCATCGTACAAGTTTATCCTAATGTGGGCAGGATGTCAAAGACTGGATTTCGGTGATATGAAAAAGGGGAATTTTTTTAGCTGATATCTGAAATATCAAACTGATTTCATTTGTACGAGTAGAAAAGCAGTTTGCCTTCTGTACAGAGACGATCCTTCTTAAAACAGACACGTTTGATTCCAACCTGCAGCCCTGTGCAGCATATCATCACCCACTGTCGGTTTCCTGTTTCCTTATCTTCCTGCTGTCCTTTCTCTTGATGAAGGCGTAAAAAAGCTCAAAAATATTTCAAAAATCCTCCCGATGAACACAGATCATCACGACTGTTATGAGAACACTGTCTTTTCTTGTGCTGCAAACACAGACATTTCTGTCTTGTACTGTAATTTCTGTTATGCATCCATTCTGTTTTCATTAATTTCATCCATTTCTGGCAATTAGCACCTTTTTATGTGGGTGTAATTGTATCATTTGGAGAAAATATCCTGGACTGGAAGCTCAGGGCTGTACGGGAGCCTGACCATTTTGGAAAATGACACCCTGTGCCACAAAAAACACAGAATATTGATGGAAATACAGACTGTTGTTTTTCTTTT